TCTGCACTGGGAGGTAGCTGATCACTGCTGTTGTAGTTCCCAGAAGATTGAAATACCCGTGGGACATCACTTTTTCATTGTCCTTCTGATAGCTACTCGCTCTGAGACATTGTAAATGGGCAGTGCTAACTAGACTGTTAATTGCACCCATCCCAATGCTATATCACAGAATCATATCATTGTCTATGGGTTGGAAGGGACCTTTCATATCATCGAGTCCAACCATTAACCTGACACTGCCAGAGCTACCACTAAACCATGTTCCTCAGCGTCACAGCTGCTCGTCTTTTAAATACCTCCAGGGATGGTGCCTCAACCACTTCCCTGGGCAGCCCATTCCAATGCTGGATAACCCTCTCAGTAAAGAATGTTTTCCTAATGTTCAATCTAAATCTCCCCATGTGCAACTTGAGGCTGTTTCCTCCTGTCCTATCGCCTGTGACTTGGGAGATGAGACCAAGTTTTAGGTAGTTGTAAGAGCAATAAGGTTTCCCCTCAGACCCCAGCTCCCTCAGCCTCTCCTCACAAGACACATTCTCCAGACCCCTCACCAGTTTCGTTGCCCTTCTCTGGACCCGCTCCAGCACCTCAGTGTCTTTCTTGTAGTGAGGGCTCCAAACTGGACACAGAACTTGAGGTGTGGCCTCACCAGTGCTGTGTACAGGGGGACATATGCTTTCCTTCCTCTCTTTGCTTGTGTTTTGCCTCCCCAGTGCCCAGGCAGGGTGAGTACTGGCTGGAGGAGGACGCTGGAGGAGGTAACATGAGAAGATTTGTTCTTGTGGGCCGTGCACACCGCAAGGAACTGAACCCAAACCTTGTAATCCTGGTCCTGACTCACTGCAATTTCTGTATCAGTTTCTCCCTTCCACACTGATCAGTAGGCACCACCTCCCTTCCAGTGAAGCCCATGGGTGGCCGGTAGGAGGCTTGGCAGTGGCAGTGGGTGGCTGTGGCTCCCTTACTCCACTTGCACAACGTGGGCTGCACGATTTCCTCTGGTGCAGCTGAGCACTGGTTCTTAAGTGTCATTTTGTACCAACATGAGCACAGCAGCACGTACAACCCCCCGGCCCTCTCCTGTGGGGGGGAGCCTTGTCTCTCACAACGACTGTCTGACACTGGCAGCAGCACCGGGGCTCCTGGCGGCAGCGGGGGCCTGGCAGCAGCTCCCAGAGACTCCCTGCTTCCATTTTCTGCTTCGGTTAAGACGAACCCTAAGGCTCTTCTCTCTGAAAGCAGGGGGCCAGTTTCTGTGCAAGTCCATCTCTGCCAGCCACAAAGCCAAGCCGCCCCATCCACTGGAAACGTGTTGGGAGGCTGATGCCAGATTCCCAAACTGGAGAGCATCCGCTCGCAGCTCAAGTGGTGCTGACATTTGCGGGAAGGCTTTCTGTTCTAAGCCGTCAGATGTTAGCTAGTGTCTGTAATTAACTTGGTGTAATTTGGCTTCAGAATGAAATATTCATTCAAAAGAGACTTTGGAAAAAAAACATCCTGTTGTTTTTAATGTCTGGGTAGCAAGCGATGCTGCGTAGAGCAAGGCATACATTTATTGTTCGAGAGATGGTTTCATGGCAACTCCTCTGTGTTACTATGGAACACAGAAAGTCCCAAAGGCTTTTACTGTCCATCACTTCTTGGGTCTTGTGAGTAATGGGGATACAAAACCCACTGACGTGTGGTAACAGGGGAGACAGAAAACAATAGGAAAATACTGTAGCCTGAAATGCTCTGGTTTGTCTCATTAACCCAAAGGGCAAATTGGATGCCCCTTCCCTGGAAGTGTTCAAGGCCAGGCTGGATGGGGCTTGGAGCAACCTGGTCTGGTGGGAGGTGTCCCTGCCCATGGCAGGGGGGTTGGAACTCGGTGATCTTTAAGGTCCCTTCCAACTGTAACCATTCTATGATTCTATGATGGGTAAAACTTTATTTTGCATAGGAGTTTTTCTAGAATTTGGTTATAAAGCATGTGACCAGAGCAGGACGACAATGACATGAAAGTGGTAAAACAGATTTCTTTCGCCCCAAAGGAAATTTCTTCACCGAAAGGGTTGTCAAGCATTGGAACAGGCTGCCCAGGGAAGTGGTTGAGTCACTGTCCCTGGAGGTATTTAAAAGAAGGGTGGACGTGGTGCTGAGGGACATGGTTTAGTGATGGACTTGGCAGTGTTAGGTTGGACTCGATGATGTTAAAGGTCTTTTTGAACCTAAATGATTCTATGACATTCAGAAGTTAGAGAAGTGATAAACAACGAGACCAAACCAGAAACCAATAGGCTGCAGGAGGCGAAATGCCAAAGGCTCGACCAAATAATCAGGAAGCTGAAGATTTGCTGAGAAGTAGCAGTTATGAAAGTTTCAAAATGAAGTAGATGAAATGAAATTTGAAATGAAGTTTTGAACTTTATTGAAATGAAGTTTGATGAAAAGACTGGTACAGGGCTCCATCCAGTTCCTATTTATCTCCCTGCTGTGAAGTTCACTGAGCACCTCTGGTCTCCACATCTGTTCTAATGCTGCAGCTTGCAGAAGGAATTGGTTCTTTCTAAGACTTGAACTTTATTGTCTGCTCTTTTGAAAATCATCCCAGTCACCAAGATTTCCCCTTTACTCTTTATCAAAACTGAAATGAAGTGTTTGCCTCAGAGTCCAGGTTGAATTGGCAAAGTTTATGATCAGAAAAAACAACTGCTTGACAGGTGTGTGCACATGGGGTGTAGAACGGGTGAATCCAGCTGAACCCCGAGATCCTGTCACACTTGATGGCTTTTGTTGTTGTTGGGTTTTATTCAGATTGTATCCAGGAAGGACCATGTGAAGACAGAAATACTGATCCATTGATTTGCTCTTGGTTTCCCAGTATCACATGGTGGCTCCGATGGTCTGGTCGCTTCCATAAATTTGAGTTAGTAGAGTTTTTTGACGTTTTGCCCTGAGTGATGCAGTGTCTCACCAACCAACTGGGCTGGGGGAGACTGGCAGCAGGTTGGTGCTGTTATGGGAAAGGATGAAAACCCCTCTGTAGTCACGTGTAACCTCTAGGTGGGGATTCTTGTTTTGACCGTGAGCGTTTTAGTTCAGTTTCGCTTCTGTGGCCAGGCTGACCAAGAGGGTTGAGTGCTAACATCAAGAGAAAGCATCCTACTTTCAGGGAAAACCACTTCTCTTTTTTTTAAAGAAGTAGTCATAAGACAACGCGTAACGTAGACCAGAGGTGACACACGGAGAGGAAATCATGTCTGGGGTGACCTGAGTGAGCTTTGCAGCTTTGCTTGGTGACACAAGCTCCTCACCGACAGCAGGGCGCTAAAATCATCTTATGGTTTGATACGAAGACGGAGGGAAGAAAAGAGGCAGTGACATTAACCCGTTGATTTCTTCATGTGTTTCCTTCTGAGCACGGGTGGGAGTAACGGAAAAACATCCGTTCATAGTTTACTTTCAATTCAGCTCATTATGTGGCACCAGTGATTGTCACCCTCCCAGTTTGGGTTAGGTACATCCGCCCTGGGTCCCAGTGTTGTGCCACAGCAGAGATGGGGAATATGGCGAAGAGGAAACCAGCCAGAGAGTTGGCATCCTCCGTTCCCTCCCACACCGTCGGTGACTTACATAGTGGTGGGTAGCTTGGGGGCAAAAAACTTAAAGGATGGAAGTATTAAGCACCTACTAATGGTCCTCATTTTAGAGTGACTTTCACCTTGTGCGGTGTTTTTGTTAATCCGCTGTATAGATACTTCTGCTTTTAAAAATTGGTTTAGTAGGTGCTTCAGAGCAACGCCCTTATTAACGATGGCTCGTTTACCCAGTGATGTGTCACCAGGCTGCTTGTCACTTGGCATCCTTCTCTCATAAAAATGAGAGCTGTAATGAGTGACAGCACTGGGTCACGGTACCATTTTGACTTTGTTCGATGGCAGCAGAGCCATGAGAGCGAGTTAAGCAGCTCTTTCCCCACATTTCTTCCTGCTGGAATTCCCTTTATTCCAATGAATACCTGGTGAGGATGATCAATGCTTGATGCTTCTCCTTATAGCAGGGGGTGTGTTTGTCCCTCCTTGTTCCTTAGGTTTGTGGGGAGCCACAGACCTTTAGTGGGAGCTGCTGGGGTGGCCGGTGCTCTCTGTTGGCACAAGACCAGATTGGATGGGACTTTGAGCAACCTTCTCTAGTGGGAGGTGTCCCTGCCCATGGCACAGGGTTGGAACTAGGTGATCTTTAAGGTCCCTTCTAACTCTAACCTTCTAACACTCTAACCAAGAAGGCTGAGGGGAGACCTTGTTGCTCTCTACAACTCCCTGAAAGGAGGGTGTAGAGAGGTGGGGGTCGGTCTCTTCTCTCAAGTCACAGGCGACAGGACAAGAGGAAATGGCCTCAAGTTACGCCAGGGGAGGTTCAGGCTGGATATTAGGAAAAATTTTTACACAGAAAGGGTTATCAGCCATTGGAATGGGCTGCCCCGGGAGGTGGTTGAGGCACCATCCCTGGAGGTGTTCAAAAGGCAGATTGACATAGAGCTGAGAGACAGGGTTCAGTGATGTGTGGCTTTGTTTTGTTTTTTTTTAACAGAGTTAGGTTGATGGTTGGACCAGATGATCTTAAAGGTCCTTTCCAACATAAATGATTCTATGATTCTATTCCTCGATTCTGTGAAGACTGATTCATGTTATGTTCGTTAAGCCTTTAGCCATGTTGTCTCGGTGGCCTCAGAGGACAAAGTGTGGGGTGCTGGGCTTTGTTTCTGGCCCAGCAGAGTGCAGGGTCCGTGCTCTGGGGCAAACACACGCGCCCTGATGAACGGCTGGAGTTTTCAGGGGGAAAGTGTTACTGGTGATGAGCTGGACGAGTGCTCTGCCATTCCTTGCCTTGAAAGAAGCTGCACAGATACTGGTGCCAGTTGGATAAAAGATTTGCCAAGTGGAACCGCAGATGGTTTTAGTAACTAGAGTACCTGTAGCTCTTGCTCAAAAGATTTGTTTTTTCCCCTTGTCTTGCAGTTCCTTGCACAGCCCACCACTTGAAGGAGAAGGAATTCTTCAACCTTTTGTTTCCAAAGACCTTGGACTGGTTTCCGCCGCTCAACTCCCTGTTTTGGTGAAGGCAAGATCCAAAGAGGAGGATGAGGCAGCTGAGAGGAAAACCCAAAAAAGAGACCTCCAAAGATAAAAAGGAGAGAAAACAGGCGATGCAAGAGGCCCGGCAACAGATCACCACCGTGGTGCTTCCCACGCTGGCCGTGGTGGTGCTGCTGATCGTCGTCTTCGTTTATGTCGCGACTCGTCCCAATACAACCGAATGATGCAGCTTTTCAGACTTTCTAGCTTTGGGGTATTAATAATTTTATCCCGAGCCAAAAGGAACTCTCTGCCACTCTTCCAGTGCTTCACCAAGGAACTCGCTGGTATTTTCAGTCTGTCTCTTGGTTGGGGTCCCGCAGGTTCTCTTTGGGAATGTAACAAAACGTATTAGCGGCCGAGCCTGTACGTTTTATGGTCCGGTTCATGTGCCTTTCAGAACTTTCCAATGGTGTTTTTTCTTAAATCTGTTTGAAGCTCTATATTGTAAAAGGAAATGGTGTCCTGCTATAAATTTGTTAAAAAAAAATAATAAAAATAAATCAGCTTTCAGCTTTTATCCCTGTTACGGATAATGTTGCTCCCGTGAGCTCTTGTCTGCCTGTTTCAGAACTTCCAAAGAAGTACAGTTCTTCTTTTTACTTACTGTCATATGAAGTGCTTTGATTCAGAAAGGATATATTTATTTTTTGAATAAAAGAGAGAAGTCTTACTTGCGATCTTCAAATTATTTTGCAAAAAAAATGTGACTTATTGTGAAAGCCTACGTTGTGTAATATTTTTTTTTTCATTAAACACTATCTCGTTCACTCGAAAGGAGTTGCTTTTTGTGGGGTGATGCCAACATGCAAAGGGAACGCGTCAGGATCCAGCAGGAGGAATCCCACACAAGTTGGAAAGGGAGATTCTACCAGTTTACGGTGAAGTAAAAACAAGCTACATAAACACAGGAAGTTGTTTATCTGAATGTTTAATATTTAAATCTGTATAAGTGGCAATAAAAAGGTGATTTTTGGATACAGCCCTTGATATTTTTTTTTTAAATTATTCTTTTTTTAAAGGAAGGAGAAGCACCGTTATTATAACTTGGGTCTCTGCTGAAGGGAGCTGCTGTCCTCTGACACCCCCTCTCCCCCCTCACTTAACCAAGCTGTGAGCACGGCGTACAGTTCTGTTCTAGGAAACCAAGCTATAGATTCTGATCAAAATGCTTCAATAACCCCCTATTCTTCTACGGCCCTTTCTCAGCCAAATATTTTAAGGCACTGGGTAAGCACCAACCTTCAGGAGACCGGGGAGGGAACTGGAGGACTTGGCTGCTGCTTGAACACAGGCCGAGCGAGGGGGGACGTGATGCCACAGCAGGAAATACTTCTGTGCTGGCAAAGAGCCCTCAAATCTGTACTTCCCATGCTCTTTGGGCACAGGGATTGTCCCAGCGAGGCCAGTGGGACTTTCTTACCCGTGCCAGCGCAGGGCCGTGCCTGGCTTCCCGTGTGCACCTGTGCATTGCTGCTGTGCAGAGCCCCTCTGCACACCCCAGCCGGGTGTCACAGGACACAGCAGCCCCCTGCAGCGCTACGGGCTGGGGGCAGAGCTGGAGCTGCCCGACAGAAAAGGACCTGGGAGTGTTGGTCGACGGTCGGCTGAACATGAGCCAGCAGTGTGCCCAGGTGGCCAAGAAGGCCAATGGTATCCTGGTCTGTATCAGGAACAGCGTGGTGAGTAGGGCCCGAGAGTTGATCATACCCCTGTACTCGGCACTGGTGAGGCCTCACCTCTAGTGCTGTGTCCAGTTTTGGGCCCCTTACCATAAAAAAGACATTGAGGTGCTGGAGCGGGTCCAGAGAAGGGCAATGGAGCTGGTGAGGGGTCTGGAGAATAAGTCTTATGAGGAGAGGCTGAGGGAGCTGGGGTTGTTCAGCCTGGAGATCAGGAGGCTGAGGGGAGTCCTTATTGCTCTCTACGACTCCCTGACAGGAGGGTGTAGAGGTGGGGATCAGTCTCTTCTCTCAAGTTACAGGCGAAGGGACAAGAGGAAACGGCCTCAAGTTGCACCAGGGGAGGTTCAGACTGGATACTAGGAAAAGTTTTTATGCACAAAGGGTTATCCAGCATTGGAATGGGCTGCCCAGGGAAGTGGTTGAGGCACCATCCCTGGAGGTGGTCAAAAGACGGGTTGACATGGTGCTTAGTGACTTGGCTTAGTGATGGTTTTTGTCAGTTAATGGTTGGACTTGGTGATCTTAAAGGTCCCTTCCAACACAAATGATTGTATGATTCTATGACAAATACCATAGACGAGCAAATGCAGTTCCCTGCAGTGGCCTTTGCCCTCAGGCACGTGTTCCTGAACTGCACATGATCCATGGCCAGCTGTTACCCAACCCTGCTCAGATGGGACAGACACCCGGTGATGCTGGGACGACCAGCGGTGCCCCTGCTGTGGGTAGTGCCTAGAATGAAGCTGGCCCGACTGAAAACGAGCTGTGCTTTGGTAAGAGAACCGCTTCCTTCAGCCAGAGAGATCTGAAATGATGCATCTGGAGAGTAATTGCTCCGTCTGTGTCATCTCCCAGCTGTTTCTCTTCTCCCGGGCACTAAACCCTTTTTGTCCTATTTTTATTTGCCCCTCGGTAGGGGGTGGCTGTGAGGGAGCTCTGATTGCCCTTCTTGGGGAGGAGGGGTTCAGCTTGAATAAAATCTGTGCCTGGGGAAGTGAATAAATTGGTGTGTGTAAATATGTGCGTTCTGCAGGGTGCTTGCCGACTGGAGCATCTAGAATAGAAGGAAACTTCCCACTAACCTCTTCCACAAATTCCTCATCTTCCTCTTCCAGGGATTCCCGACCAAGGTCTCCCTGCCCCTGTTCCTGCTCTGATCCTTCCAGGTGGCTCTGACCAAGTCCCTGTCACTTTCCCATCACAGCAGGTGTCTTTCTGTCTGTCCCAGTGGCAGCGCTTCTTTAGCCATTTATAAAATCACAAATTCATAAAAATTATAAATTTTATAACTTGGAAATACACCCCCGAAACTGTTCAGAGTCCTGATGGGATTTTTTTTTCTCCCTCCTTTTTTTTTCCTGCAAGAGTTGAGGCAGTGACACGTAAGAGCAATTAACTGGCTGATGACAACTAAATAGGTGAAGGCCAGTTGGGTTAGATAATACCCAAGATTACTTCTCTAATGAGATGTTCCATTTCTGCTGCTTCCTCTTACGCTCTCCCCTTGTCTCTTGTCAGCTGCAGATTCTGCAGGTCACAATAATGATCTTTACAGAGCCAAATGTTTATTAATACGAACCTATGGCGTGGTGCTAATAGGAGACGCTGTGTATTTCAGTTCCCTGAAATGTGCGATTTTACTGAGCGCTAATTGAGAGGAAAACAGTGTCAGGCGTTCCGGATTGTTCCTTACGGAGAAGCTACGACTCATTTCACAGTTCGACTCAAAAAAAAAAAATATATTTTTCTCTGGTAAACAATGACGTTGGATTCTGACATTTTTCTACCAAATCCCCTTTCACTCATCTTTGGACGTGAGAACGCGGGGTCGGAAAGATGGCACGAAGCCTCCGTGGACAGAAACTGTCAAAAATCACTGGGAAATAATCGGGAAGTAAATGAATGGCAGTTGCCCAAATGTCAGCTCCCGTGAAGTTCTCAGCCGAAGGTGGAACGGTGGCTCTGGTTTTTTAACTGTATTACTCCAACTGTCAGTCGCCTTCAAAAACGTTTTAGAACTAGGCTTTCGAACCTTTTCCCAGCACACAGTAGCTTGTGGGCAAAATTGAATGATTTATTACAAGCATTTTACCAGAAAACCCACGCTGAGATCCTTCTGCAGCAGTGTCCAATGGTAGGCTTTCCGAGAGTGCTCATTATCGGGTGAAGTCATTAAAAACCTGCCATTGCCTTCTGAGAAATCAAGTTATAGAAGCAATTTTTTAAAAGCAGTTTTTCAAAGCATAAATCAAGTCAGAGTCACAGAATCCCAGAATGATATGGGGTTGGAAGGGACCTCTGGAGATCATCTGCTCCAACCCCTCTGCCAAAGCAGGTCCACCCAGAGCAGGTTGCACAGGAACATGTCCAGGTGGGTTTTGAATGTCTCCAGAGAAGGAGACTCTCCCACCTCTCTGGGCAGCCCGTTCCAGTGCTCTGCCACCCTCAAAGTAAAGAAGTTTCTCCTCCTGTTTAGGTGGAACTTCTTATATTCAAGTTTGTGCCCATTTCCTCTTGTCCTGTCACTGGGCACCACAGAAGAAGGTCCGGCCCCATCCTCTTGACACCCACACTTTTTAAGTATTTATAGGTGTTGATCAGATCCCCCCTCAGCCTTCTCTTCTCCAGACTAAAAAGACCCAAGTCCCTCAGCCTCTCCTCGTAGCAGAGGTGCTCCAGGCCCCTCAGCATCTTTGTAGCCCTCTGCCCCTGCTGTACCTGTCAAATACTTAAAAATCAAGGTTTGAAGGGAGTTTTATAAATGTCCTCGAAGTGCTGAGAAAATAAAGGGATGGTGTCGAGTGTTCTCGTGGTGGGTACATAAATGCCCATCTCTGTTATCAATGTCTGCAGCCCCACAGAACCAAGGGTGAGAAGCAGGGGCGCTGCCCGTGCTCTGAAGGAAGAACCACACCTGTTCTCAGAACTCAGAGAAATTGGCTCTGGGTTTTCTGTTTCAATCCGTCTACAAGAAAATGTTTCCTTATTCACAGCCTGATGTTCAGAAAAACAGCAGTTTTAAATACGTGCTGCAGAGAAACCGCACCGTTCTTTTTTCAGACTATTTGTGTTCAGTGCCCAGGTGGTGCATCTCCAGGCTTCAACCAAAACAAGTCTTGTCACGGTGCTGGGGAGACCTTATAGTGGCCTTCCAGGGCCTGAAGGGGACTTGGGACAGATGGGGAGGGACTCTTCATCAGGGAGTGGAGTGATGGGACCAGGGGTAATGGTTTTAAACTGAAAAAGAAGAGATTTATATGAGATATTAGGAAGAAATTCTTTACTGTGAGGGTGGTGAGACACTGGAACAGGTTGCCCAGAGAAGCTGTGGATGCCCCATCCCTGGAAGTGTTCAAGGCCAGGCTGGATGGGGCTTTGAGCAACCTGGTCTGGTGGGAGGTGTCCCTGCCCATGGCAGGGGGGGTTGGAAGTCAATGATCTTTAAGGTCTCTTCCAACCCCAACCATTTTGTGATTCTAAATAATCCCTACATCTGTCACAGAGGTTCAGTGAGGGGGTGCTTTAGGGCTGTTCTTTGCAGGTGGACATGTTCTCACAAGGTTCCTGGGCACACTCACTCCTCCTCAGTCTGTTCCAAAGCCCGTAGTGGTTTGGGGCAGAGCAGATCAGAGGAACAAGCCCATCGGTGTGTTGCTTTAGGTAGGGCGGCAGGAGTGCAGCGTGTCACTGTCTGGGGACATTGCTCAATCCACTAGTGGAAATTTAGGTGTAGCACATTAAATTACAGCCTATTTATGGCTTTGAGGGTGTCCCGGTGATTAAATAGTAACTTGGACACAGTGAACTTTGAGATGTGAACCCTATGGTGAGGGAAAAAGAACCCATGGTTCCCACATTGGTTTGGCCAGTTCACACGAGCTCTGCCATGAACAACCTTTAACCCGGCATTTCCCAGCAGATTGGTGTGTCTGAGGAGAAAAAAAACCTCCCTGGCACAAGGCAGTTGGTGTAAAATCTAGTGGATACCTCTTTTGCATAGAAAGAAATTAAAAGTTGGAAAAAAGTGACCTTATCACTCTCTGCAACTACCTGAAAGGAGGGTGTGGAGAGGTGGGGGTCGGTCTCTTCTGCCAAGTCACAGGCAATAGGACAAGAGGAAACAGCCTCAAGTTGCATCAGGGAAGGTTTAGATTGGATATTAGGAGAAATGTCTTCACTGAAAGGCTTGTCAAGCTTTGGAATGGGCTGCCCAGGGAAGTGGTTGAGGCACCATCCCTGGAGGTGTTCAAAAGCTGGGTTGACATAGTGCCTAGAGACACGGTTTAGTGATGTTTTTTCTCAGAGTTAGGTTGATGGTTGGACTCGATGATCTGAAAGGTCCCTTCCAGCCTGGACAATTCTATGTTTCTCTGAATGGGGATGCTGTAATTGGCTGCTGCAGGCTGTAAAGCTAGGCAAGAACATAATCCCATTGTCCGTATGGTGCAGGGTAAGGACCTTCCCCTGGTGCCCTTTGCCTCCTTCCAGCTGCCTGGTCTCTGGGAGAGCCACGGGCAGGAAGCAGCAGGAGGGACTGGAGTCCAGCACCCACCCGAGCTGGTGGTGTAAATAAAACTTTGCTGACTGCCCTGACGTACCGCGGGTGTCCCATCACCCGGGGCTCATCTCAATAGATAGTCTCTGATGATGTCTACAGAAGAGCTGGGGAGGGACTCATTATCAGGGAGTGGAGTGATGAGGGGTAATGGTTTTAAACTGAAAAATAAGAGACTTAGATGAGCTATCAGAAAGAAATTCTTTCCTGTGAGGGTGGTGAGACACTGGAACAGGTTGACCAGAGAAGTTGTGGATGTCCCACCCCTGGAGGTGTTCAAGGCCAGGCTGGATGGGGCTTTGAGCAACCTGGTCTAGTGGGAGGTGTCCCTGCCCAGGGCAGGGGGGTTGGAACTCGGTGATCTTTAAGGTCCCTTCCAACCCAAACCATTCTATGACACTATGACTTCTCATCCCCACTGGTGGTCTTTACTCTGGTTTTGAATCATGAAATGGTGATGGGCTTGATTCTGACGTTTCTGTATCACTGCGAAATGAGGAGTTATCACCAGGGACACTATGATAAACCCAAACAGTGGGACAGCAGGGTTTTCTCTATCAGAGTGGAGATCTATTACCCTTTGACTGGGTAAACTGAACTCATTGTTTGAGTTAACACATGGGAAATGCAAGAAAGCCGTGCCGGGGATTTTTCATGTTTATCCATTTTTATGTTCATTTGGCACTGGGTTTTGCTGCTGCTGTTGACGTTCCTCTGGGCATGGCTCAGCGTCCCCACCATCCCACGCCCTCCCACTCCTGCACTCCTAAACTTCCCTTAGAAGAGAGAAGAAACGGTAGGAAGAAAATGGGCTGAACACCCAACTTCCACGTGAGCCACTGTTGAAGATTTCTCTCTAGTTACCGTCATTTCACCGACATCCCCATCAGAGCAGGTTTGGGCAGTGACTGGTCAGCGATGGTCTGACACCTCTTTTACCACCAACTATTTCAAAATTACATCTCGACGAAGCGTGTTGGCAGCTGTGTGTAGTGACCTCTGCTTGTCCTTCAGCGAGAAAAGCTGGTGGCAGCCTGAACTGTTGTTCTTTTTATTTAAAACACGTCTTTCAACTAGGAGCTAAAAAAACATGCTTTTTGGTAAAGCTTTGAAAAATCACAGAAGTCCAGCAGCTCACACGAATTTTCCAATGCCCAGCTATTCACAAAGTAGAACAGAATTTTTTTGTATGTTTTGGATAATCTGTAGCTCCCGAACATTGCACCTTGTCCTGTCAAATGAATTTATGATAAATAATTCTTTTCTTTTTTCATTTTTATTGATGCTTTCAGGCATTTATAGCCTTGGACCCTCCTGATTATTTCTTTTTTGACAATATACATACATCTCCAATCCCTGTTCATAAAGTGTATCACTCCTCAGTCATCATTATTTCTGTGTCCATCATTCTTTAAGAAGGTTCCACAATGACTTGAAATGTGGTACGCGTTGTACACACTATTTTTGGCGTGATAACACCAGGAATATGTATTTTCCTTCAGAAACTCTCACCAGTTTAATCAAGTTTCTACCTTTCAGTACAGTTCAAGTGCTGAGACCCAGCAGCTCTGCCCGTACCTGGGCAGCAACAGGTTCTTGTTTAAATTGGGGATCATCAGATGAGGAACCCTTGCAAGTTCAGGCTGGAAAGAGGAGGGTGACCTTCCAGGTAAGGATGTCTTAAAAAACCAGCACTTTGATCCATACTGTCTCAGCACATTTGGGGCATAATATTCTTGGAGCAGGACAAGCCAGTAAACAAGGAGGCTTTTCAGATGCAGGTCCTTTGCAGTTTTCAGTGCTTTTCACAGGAGTTTATTCTATGGCGTTACACAAAAGCCAGGCTGAAGCTAACTCTGTTATTTCATTAGCCAAAGTTAGGGGCTTGGCCAGATCTTCAAAAGCTTTAGAATAAAAAACCTTATTAATTTTTTGATAATTTCATTCATTCACTGTATATCATCTCACAGATCTGTGTCATGAGAGGGATCCTCAGGCCTGGACTGGGTTCAGACACAACTTTTCTTTGAAGAACTGGTGCACACTGTCTTGTATGTTTAAATTTCATCGTGGCAGAAGAACCTGGCTAACTGGCCAATAGCCCACATTTTTTTTTTCTCTTGCCTTCCGAAAGACCACATTTTGCTTCATTTTGCTTCGACAGATCTTTCCCAGCTTAAAATCTAGCTTCATTTCCAGAGGCTCCTCAAATTTCTTCATTAGTTCTTTTAAAACTCCCAGATGCATCTCCCCTTAAGCTGAGGATGGTATATATTTAGTTTGTTCAGATGTCCCTCCATCATCTTCTCATTCAGTCCTCGTCCCTCCAGCTGAGTCTAGTAATTTTCCTGAATTTTCCTGTAAAAGGTTCTTTGATTTCCTCATTTTCATTACTCATTTTATTGCAAACCAAGCCAAACTGGTATTTAAAATCTCAGTATTTTGTGTAAGTGTGATGTGGTGTATTTTGTCTTAATGGCAATATAGCTTCCGAAAACAATTTACATTTTTGCTGTGGTCTTGAATATTAACGAGACTTCATTTACTCACAAACTGGAGCTGTTTTGACAGTCTGGTATTATTTTTATCCAGATTTTTCCAGGAAGTTGGCAGCAGTACATGCTGGAAAGCAGTTCTTCAGTATCTTTTTCACTGAAATTGGTGGTTCATCAACACTGTCTGTAATTTCTGTTTCGCTTGCACAGCAATAGAATTCAGTATGAATTGCAAATAAAAGGAATCTCAACATTATGCAGTTTTTTGGCACATGGAGTTGAATTAACTCTGCTCAGTTTTATAATGTTTTCCTATGTTGTAGAAAAAAATAAAGAATTTAGGCCCTTACCTAAAACAAATTGCCTCTCTCTTATGAGGAGAGACTGAGAGAGCTGGGACTCTTTAGTCTGGAGAAGAGAAGGCTGAGGGGTGATCTTATCAATGCTGACAAGTATCTCAAGGGAGGGTTGAAAGAGGAGGGAGCCAGACTCTTTTCAGTGGTTCCCACCGAGAGGACGAGGGGCAACGGGCACAAGTTGGAACATAAGAGGTTCCACTCAAATATGAGAAAAAACTTCTTCACAGTGAGGGTGACAGAGCCCTGGAACAGGCTGCCCAGGGAGGTTGTGGAGTCCCCTTCTCTGAAGATTTTCAAGACCCGCCTGGATGCAGTCCTGAGTAACATGCTCTAGCTCTAGGCAATCCTGCTTCAGCAGGGGAGTTGGACTAGATGATCTCTATGGTCCCTTCCAACTCTAAAATTCAGTGAAAATTCAGTGAAAATTCGGTAAAGTTAAAGGTTTTTTCCCTATTTCAATGTAGTTAAGCAATGAGCCAGCAGAGTATCTAAACATCGGTACCAAAACAGGTGCTTTCAAAGACTGAATTTAAAAGTTATAAAGTATTAATGTAAAGGATGTAAAGCACCTGAGATCAGGCTCTGCCCCAGGTGAATTCTATAGGTCTGGCAAAAGAGGCAACATGGGTGGCTTCAAAATCTGTGCTTTGTCTATTTATGTTCCCCTCACGGACCTGCAGGGCTTAAAGCGTAAGAAAGAGCGAGCTCAAACTCCTCATTTCAGGAATCCCAAGGGCTATTTCTATAGCCAAGAATAACCAGAGCATAGATAAGCTCTTTATGCTGGGAGCTATGACATGGCTAAAGGCTCCTATTATTCTTGTTCTGTGCAATCTAGAGAATTTCTCTTGGCTGATTATATTTTCAAGGGAATAATTCCAGTGATTAGCCCTCCGTACATCACAGAATTGAAAGTATCTTACTTAATTCACAGTGCTGTTACCGAGTCTCTGCTACACACTATTTAACTAGGAAAAAACCAACCTGTATATTTTAGAATACGTTTAGAGTACGATCTTTTCTAATACAGTCAATTTACAATATACCTGAATATGTGGGATAGTGATCATCTTACTGAAACCTTGGTGTTAAAAATACCTGTGATTGGCAACGTGCCTGAACACATGAAGCAACCAGTTGCAGATTTCAGTTCTGAGAAACCCATGGGTGATTACTTGGTTTTATTTCCTTAGTTGAGGGACTGGCTTTCCTGTACCCTGGCATATCTTTTTAGAGTGTTTTCAGAATGTCTTTGCAGTTCCTCAAGGTGCGAATTTAAACGTTCTTCAAGCTCTCTTGTATGTTTCTCCTCCTCTTGAAGGAACTTCTCTGTTGTTGCAAGGAAGGACATCTCAGGAGGATACTAAACAATGAACAGAAAATCATAGTTAGTAAAAACCAGCAAGTGCTGTGACATGTTTGCATTATCAAATTTTACATTTGAAAAACATCTTAACCTATAGCAGTTTATAGTGCTGTAACACTTTATGTCTCTCCAAGAGAACATGAATTTGAGCATACATTTTTAAAGGCATTCAGGAGCCTAAATGACATAATGCGAACATGATGTTTGAATACCTGTGATAGTCACAGCATTAGGATGTAGATTTGCCATTAAAAATTTAAATATGCCATTAGACAGAATTAAGCTGCTCCACAATCTCCAAAGTCTTTGGATCGGCAAGAGGTTATGTTCGTCACTTGTATAATTTAGGCCAGCAGAGAGGACAATAATGTGTTTTTTGGCATTACAGAATATAACTAGTTGAGTACTGCTGATTGCCTCCTGTAATTTTCCTCTCTGCTTCTGTGATGTGATGCTTTCTGAGAAAAGGAAGAAAACCCATGCTCATTTCAGTACTATCAACTTCAAACCCTGATATTCTGGAGAATGTACTAAATTTTATACTCTGCAAGAAGTTCACCGAAAAATCTTGTTTCCATTTAATGAGCATTCAGTAGATTGAGACGTAAACCACACCAAAATCGGGCCTAAAATGGTTGTCATGGGATGCAGAGCTGTATAAAGCAAAGGACATGAGTGAATCCTTGCTGGAACTAGTTCTAAATTTTTAAGCAGCAATTTTTGTTAATTCCTTTTGCTAATATTTAAGATGCATTCACTGGAATGTCTTTATCAAAAGAAATATGAAATAATTTTTCTTTGCCTAAAGACATTATGCTTATTTAAATAAATTCAGCGTTTATTTGTGTAGATAAATACAATTTTATGATATGAATTTTTAAAAGTCGATCGAGAAAAAACTTAGTATAGGAGCTGTAATACTGAAAAAACCATAATTTTCTCTCTTTATATGATCATATATTGAGAAAGATGATTGACATTTATTATATTAATTGGAACATGTTAAATAGTTTTAATAACTGCTTGTTAGTCTAGAATCTCTGGTTTTGTTTTCAGGAAAGTATATCTGTCAGTGCATCAAATAGGAATGGCTTCAAATGATTTAAATATTGAAATGTTTTGTGGAAAAGGCCAATTCTATTACACCTGTAAATTTTTATTCTAGGCTCCATTGTATTAGAATGGTTTATTCCCTATTTCCACAGCAACTAGTGGCAGATTTGGTCTTTGCTTTCAGCCTTGTTTAAAACTGCTGTTTAGCAGCTTTTCAGACAAAAAGATAGTAACTAGAGAAATGCTTTAAAGCACTATTCTGTTCAAACTCTTTGCAGCAGACCTTGAGATAAAATTTAGAGAATTCCTATAGGAAACCCCCTTTCTTTTCAAAGTACAGCATGTAATACCATCCTTCTAGAGTGAGAGAGACTTTCTAGGATAGGGCTCCAAACATGAAATTCACAGATAAAGCAGAATCTTCCTTTTCTCAGTCCCTCCAAATTAGGGTTTTAACAGGGCAGGGAAGAAAAAGTGATGTAATTGGCCATGTAGGAGTAAGGAACCCAAAGGTATTGGATCACTCTGTGGATCACAACACTCTTCTATCAACCCCTGCACTAGCAGGGATGAGAAAGAATGTTAATCTTCCAATGTTTGAGAAACTCTGGAGGAACATCATCATCCTCATAAACACAGGCATGGTTTGCCACCCTCAAATCAGCAATTGTTTTCCAATGAATTATAGAATCATAGAATTTTTTGGGTTGGAAAGGACCTTAAACATCATTGAGTTCCAATCCCCTGCCATGGGCAGGGACACCGCTCACTAGACCAGGTTGCTCAAAGCCCCATCCAGCCTGGCCTTGCTAAAGAGTTGTTCCTGAGATTTTGAATGCCATGGCGACAGGCACATTTATTCCTTCATGGCCAGAAAAATAGCTTCTTGTGATCTTTGGATTCAGTGATAGAGTTGGCAGTAGTATTTTGAAGAATTTGAAGAAGTCTTTCATATTATGAAAAAGACATTGGATTTGCAGGCTTTACTTAAAGCATCACCATGTGTTTCGCTTACTGAATACCAGCTCTGAAATCACTGATTCAATACTGAGCAAATAAAATACTTTCAGTGAGGAGCATAAGAAAGTGGGAAAATATGAATCTAAAATATTAATTGAATAGGTTTCATCACCTAGAGTAAAGTCCTGTCAGGCCTTTCCATACGGACAGCAGATTGACATGAGTCCTAGCCTTCGGAAATGTTCTATCAAGTTATGAGAGATTCTCAGAGATTTATTGTAACAATGTTTGCAATTGATGACTTCTCATTAGAAACATACTGGCCTCATGATCAAGATATCTTCCTAAAATGCTAGTGTCCTTTGCTTCAGCTGGTACTTACTTTGATGTATTTTTTCTTGAAATACACTGTAAACAGCAAATGATACATTTCTGAATTTCCTCAGAGTTGAGAGAAGAATGTTTATCGCTTAGAATAAGCAGATCATGGTTCCCTACAGCTCCTTACCCGAGGGTCAGGCATCACTATCATTTTAGATAGGTCCCTAATGCACTGGTTTTTATGCACTTTGAGAGAAAGTCGTATCTAAACAGGTCTACAAGGCAACATTTCTTGTTAGCAGCTAAGCTTTGCTTTCAAGCCTCTGGTTTGTTCTTTCACCATGTACTTTATTGTCTTTACTTTCAGTGCCTGAGGAAGAAAAAAACATAAAGAAACTGCTTTAATCCATGTCTCAGATGAGATTCATGGTCCCTAGTTTTGAATTCGTTTTCCTCAGATAACACTTTTATGTCTTTCAGTTTTCTAAGTGGAGCTGGATAGAAATGGGTTCATTGGCAAGCTAACTTTTTTGAGTAGTTAAGCAACAGGAATTCTACTTTTTAATTTCTACAGTGTCAGCTGATCCTGTATCTCTTCGGGGCAAACCAGTAATGAGAATCACCTTTTTGCCTCATCGTTTGCTGGAAATGAAGGAGCACACCTGATAGAAATACCTATTTTCACATATGAAATCGCTGCTAAATATGTCTTCTCCTTAGGCAAGAACTACCCAAAGTGCTTATGAATTAACTCTGGGTTGTTGGGGAGAAGCACTTCAGGAAGCTAGGTCTGTTCTCTCTAGCTGATGGTCTAATTCCTTTGCCTAGAATTAATCTCTTTCTTGCCCCATGAGTTTTCCCAGCATTCTTGGATGCACCTTCAGCAGGGCAGGAAGAAAGCTTGAACACGTGGGAGATTCTAACATTTAGTGGTAAAATAATGAGTGTTCAAATCCCAGAGTGTTAAAGTCTTCACATGTTTAGTCCCTTCTGCTTTCCAGGAAAGGTCTTGTTACACCAAGACTAGGAATTGACCTGGCTGATTTTTCTCTCTCTGTCATTAAATCTGGGGGCTTTTGGGAGTTTTCTCTAACCTTACACTGCAATACACCTCAGGCAGCAGGTACAGAGGCCTGTCTTCAACACGCTTCTGCTCAGGTAGGACAACCAAAATTGAGAAGCCTGGGTAACTGGCAAGCCATATAGGAAGGGTTTTTAGGGAGCCTAAGTACCCAACCAGCCAGGAACACACCTAAGAGTGAGAGGCGTGTACCACAGCATGCCTCAGGGGAGGCTCAAGATTCTCAAAATTGTTCCTAATAATGTCCAGTGGTAGAATTTCCACAACTTTCCATTACAATCTATGTATTAAGGAATTTCCCTCCCTTAAGAAGTTTCCTGAGGCTTAACTTCAATTTTACTTGTTACAGCTTAAGTTTTTCTTGTATTTCCAAGTCTTGAAAGGAAGAACAGACAATGTCTGTCCATCACCTGAAGAGAGAGAAGGTACTTGTGACTACATGTTAAAGATCCAGATGGAGAAGCAAAACATACATAACTGCTTGCTCCACCTGAAATGGAAAAGTCGTGTAGAAATGGACTATTCTGAAGGTGCAAATAATTATTGCCTATTTAATTATTTATTTATTTACTTTTTGTGGGAAAGATTAAACTTGAAGCTGGACATTGGACTGTTCCACAGAATAGTCTTCCCAGAGACTATTGGGATGGGCAACTATTTTCTGAAGTTGTTCGTTTCAGAAGGAGAGCACATCCCAAAGCACTGTTCAGAGATAAAGTATTTCCCCAGCTTGGGAAAGTCTGGAAACAAGAATTTTTGGGGTTATGGGACTTTCCAGTGAATCCCAGCTGAGCTTTCTAGTTTACCCAAAGGCAGGAGTGATTTCCTCTACACTTGTAGCCTCTAAGTAGGAATGTGAAAGGAACATTTACTAAGGTTGTCTGAAGACTCTCTACTGGCAGGAGAAATGCAAGTCCTTGTCTAAAGCCCTAGAGACTATTTTCTCTCTTCCCTAAATACCAACAGAGTTACTTGGGTACGTAACAGGACATCACCTGCAATTCCAATGTTTTCAATTGGTGCTACAAATATTCTTCAGAAAAATGGTCCCTTATAACATCTTCAGAAATTTTGAACATAATGGAGATTCAACTTAGGTGAAACATCAGGCCTGAAAACTCTGTCAAAGAGCTCTAGCTTACAAATAGTGTGTGGTTTTTTTCCTCTTTCTCCTTGATGGAATGGTTTTCCATTTGAACATGGAGCTCTAGAGTAACAGACTGTTGAATCATCTCTGCACTAAAGCTGTGGCACCCAATGTCGGTCTGAATGATGATTTAATTTTAGCAATCTTCTGAACTTGTACCTGCTTCAATGCCACTGATTTGGACTTAGACACTGTAAGAGAAATATCCCTTGCTTAATAGTTTCATTATGTACTTTTCCCCCACACCAGCTGGAATGTGTTTTCCTTATAATCTAGTCAACTGTCTTGGCATTGACCCTGTCCTGAGTGCCAGCTGGGAAATAATTTCCCTGCAGCTTGCAAAAGTGTCTCAGAGTGGATATTTTCGTTGGCCTGGTTGGAAACAGAAGCTTTGTGGTCTGGTGTCTCTGTCTGACACTTCTGACAGAAGAGAGGAGGAGAGCTGGTGTTTATCAGAGACTCCTGAAAAAGTCCAAACATTTCTTTTCACGATTAGCAGTTTAAAGAGGAAAACTCTCAAGCCATGAGAAACCAAAAGCCATTTACTTAACATTCCTGTGAAGCCTAAGAATGGAAAAACAGAAGTGAGGTCAAACACCCAGGACTATGTGGTTCTTGCTGTTCTCTGACTACTGGGGCACAGCTGGTGAAGGTCATGGTCAGTGAAGGGCTGCACTGCAATCCCAGCTTCCCAGACACCAGCACTATGGCACTCCCTTATCAACAGTGACATTCTGGACTATGGACACAGTCTTCCAGCTGCTGTGTTCTCAGTAGGCCAGGATGTGTGCACATTTCTGAAGCAGACAGCAGATCTGGGGACCACCCCAAACTCCTTGAAGATGATTGTTGGTATCATGATGCCTCTTCACTTCTACTTAAGGTGACGAATGGCAAGAAAATTCCCTATTGGTTCCCCCCAGTAAATGCTGAATCTTCCCTGTTCTCGCTCAGGCACACCCCTGCAGTTCAGGGGCTCCTGGGCACAAAGATGCGTAGATCACAGCTGGGTCACAGCTGGACAGAGGGATGGCTACAGTCCATTCCTCACTAATCTCTTAGTTCCATTATTTAATGATGGTGTCGTTGCATGGTTTGAGGTCTGAAAAAGAAGTGCTAAGTTTTCAAGTTGTAGTGGAGGCCTAAGGAAGAACAGAAGATGCTAAGAAAGAGGGTAAAGCTCAAATTTAAAGAGAGATCTAAAGTCAAAGAAGTATGGAAAGTTTTCCTAAGAAGTTGCCCTGGAAAAGCGGGATTTATCCCACTTGTCATGGAGGTTGGTAATCTCCAGCCTGTGAAGACTGAAAGAAAGAATGCTGCACTATTACTCTTTCATTTCAAGAAAAATAAGGATTACAGCAGTTATCGTGTGTTCCTTTTCAAATACAATAGCTAACACGTAGAAAATAGTTGCTGCAATTCCTCTAATTTCACCCATCAAACGAATGCTGTAGAAACTTGATTTGTCTAAGAGCACTCAAAGCAGTAAGTTTGCAGGCATTATAAAAAATACACTTAAAGCAGAGTGCCCTTGCAGAAGGTAATATGAAGCGGAGTGCCCCAATGTAGAAGGTAATGAGCTAAAATGTAGAAATCTCTCTCACAATCACATAATGGCAGGTAATTATCACCATCGTTATTAGAACAGAGGTATGGCCCAGTAGGGGATGTTTAATCTCCAGAAAAACTGCATTTATGTTAGGATAAGGCATTTCCATTTTTGCTGGGCTGGCACTGTATAAATAATGACAACAGGTGTGATTTAATTTTTGGCTCCTCCAAGGCTGCATTTGGTCCACAAACGGAACTTTGAGAATATATGTTATAGGGAAATAGTTACTTACTGATAATTGGATTTCTTCTGCACTGTAAGCAGGGCTCAAAAAGCTGCCTGTTCTGCCCTTTTCAGGAAACGGCCCACCAAAGCCCAAAGGAGACCTCACTGGGGCTGACGGAGATTTATCCTCTATTTTCTTCTCGTGACCTCTGTGAAGTGTGTAAGAAGATAAAGTGCTACCACTTTTTGAAAGAGTGGTATTGCCTTGGCCGTATAAAGCAGGACAACAGGTTCTGTGGTAGCCACTGGCTGGGAACATAGCAGTCTGTTGACATTCAATTTCCCATCCTTCTTTCTTTTGGAAAGTTCTAAGAGAGAAAAAAAGAAAACAAAGTATGAAAACCAGTTAAAGCTCTAAGCTATTGCAGCAAAGCCAAAGGGTTTTTTATTTATTTACTTGTTTGTGCAATTTTTTTTTACTTAAGAAATTTTTTTAAATACTATTTTATTAAATTTATATTTTTAAAATACATGTTTTAAAAAATGGTACAGGAACACGCTTTTGTAACAATAATTGAACTCTTTAACCTTACAAAAGAATTTTTAAATATTTTATTATGATGTTCTGTAGCTCTTGTATCTTACTTATAATGATCACAATGGATGTGAAAGCATATATTTGTAGTTCTGTAAAGCAAAACCTATAATGCTTATAGGCATTAAGTTGCTATAAAGCAACTTAAAAAAAACCAGCTATTTTCTTCCCATTCAAAATATCTTCTTTTCCTGACAGTTAGCTGAACAGTTCTGAAACCGTATTGATAAGAGCAGAGAATTTTGAAACTAGCTTGCCCAGATGTCTGCTGAATTAGACTAATTTTCAAACAAATCTTTATTTGTATTATATATTAAAACATAAAAAGATTTAAAATATCTCAGATTTTATCACATTTCTGTTACAATATTTCTGACTGAGGTAAAAATTTCTATTTTACTGAGGTCTGTGCTTATCATAAAATTGAAATTTTAGTCTTGGGAGGTAACTAATGTACTTAACCATGAGAGCTGTTTGAAAAGATCCTATCATTGCAAATATCCTGAAACACTTTCTAATTTGAAATGCAGCTATAAAAGAGCTTTTAAAGATCAAGTTCTCTACCACTAAAATACAATTACCATAAATATCCAAATGCATGTGCTGGTAGGATCCAAGGAAAAATGCTGCTTTTTTTTTTTTACTTTTAAATAAAAAAGAATTTGTCAAGCACAGGGAATGGACAGTGTTTTCTGCAGAAAGATCCCACCATTATTTTCAATCTTAATTTAAATATTTGGTGTTGGGAGAGTGTGGTCTTAATGCATCCTCCTTGTACATAAGCCCTGAAACATGAAACTGAGACTCCATAAATGGACTGTGCAGAACAACTCAGAGAACTAATGAAGAACATATTTTTCTCTGATTATAAAAGAAGTAGTGATTAAGATACTCTTGAATGCTACAGGAAAGCAAATTATAAGTATGATGCTATAATGTTATTATTACTATAATATTGTTATTACACATTCTAACATAAAACTCTCTGAGAATATTCACAAAACCTTCCAGCTTTCTAAATCACCTAAAATGTTTACATTTATGGGGGCAGATTTTCCTCCTTTCTTTCACGCTTTCCTTTAAATAAATATACTCTGCTCCGTAGGCACAGGAGAATACCTTTTCTCTTTTTCCCCCCACTATTTAAAGTCCTTTCTATCTATTGTTTGGATGATGGGCACAGTAAAAAAAACTGCCACAACTGAAGATAGATGGCATGTATAATAAAATCACAGAATTTTTTTTTTCATCTTGTGTTCTGACCTTTTTGGAAGTAATTTCCTCTGTAAAACCACAGTAAAGTCTATGTGATCTGTTTTCTTTTTTTTTTTTTTTTTTTTCCACCCCAGAACTGCTTCTCTATGCATTTACTAACAGTTATTACTGTTATGTTATAGCTTACCTCACTAAGACCAGAATTTTCAGACTTGGGTGCCTACAGTTACGGTGGCTTTTAGACAGTAAAACCAGACATACCCCTCCTCCCCACAAAAGTACCAATTTTTTTAAAGGAACTTGGGTTCCTGCTGTAATCCCCAGGATTGCTGGGGCTGTTTGCTATCTTGGAAAAACATGACACCTACATTTAGGTGCTTTGATATGGATCCTATGCCTTCACTTCAGACAGATTTCACAGCTGGGGTTTAAATTTCTGCCAGTTCAGTGCAAAATAATATCTAAGAACCGAGTTCTACTTTGAATACAAATGTAAAGGTAGGCAAATTTCTGCAAGTTTGTAAAAAACCTGCCCATTTGTTAACACTGGCAACTCAAATATACAATAACTGCAGTTGAACTTATGCTTTCAGTGTTTACTGTTCTAGGGTTTCAGGGTTTACTGTCCTAGAGTATTTAATATACACACATACTTCACAAAAATAATATCTCTCTTGATATGACGACATCTGGCACAAGAAGTCCTTGCAAAGGGAATTTATATAGACAGGATCGATTTTTCCAGACTGCTATGAAATCAGCCTCGTCCCTATGCGATCGATGGCTTCAGTGGCACAAAACGACCTCCTTGCCCAGCTTGTGCTGGTGCCATACCTAGTCCTGAGAAAGAAAACAACAGGCCTTCAACGAACGGAATGTCTTCAGAATTCCTGTTGCTGCTTTTACCTTGCAAGCCTAACTTCTACCTTTGTTCTAAAAACAGTTAAAAAGTGTTTTCCTGATAATTTTTTTTTTTCCAGTTTTTCTACTGCAATAACCGGTGCCGTGGTGAGTATGGCCAAGAGTGTGTGACCTCCAAAGGGTAATAAAAAACTCCTTCAGACAGATATGCCACTGTCAGCACAGATCCTTTAAGAGATCCCCAGCCATCTGAAGAAGCATTCAGTCCCAGCCTTTACCCCTCGCCTTTGCCACATGATGAAAGTGCACTTTGGCTTGCCCAGTTAACCTATTTGGTGAATATTTTTATGGTAAGTAAGTAGTATTTCATTTAGAAACTCACATGACTCTTTTAATTTTGGAAGAAAGAGGCTAAAAGCATCAGCTTCATCAGAGAGAGCCCTCTTCAACCATGTCAAAATTAGTATCAGCTGTATGTGGCCAAGGCCTAAATAAAGGATTGACATCTTGAGGGTGGGGAAAGCTTCTGTAAATGGCAATTAGAAGTAAATTATCATATTTGAAAACAACAACTATTTAAAGTGGTTACTGGTAGGATGTGGCCACAGTCTTTTTCAGCAAAAAGATGCCACTCCTGCATATCTTACTTTGTAATATTTAGAAATTCACTGTATACTGCAAAAAAAGAAGAAATCATGTCTCTTTCTAAATTGCCAATGTAATTTCCTGCAATTTCCTGTAGTTTCTCTAGAGGTCTCCCATCTAATTAATGACTGTGCCCATGCTTAGGATTCTAGTACTTACTGTGAGACATGCCTTAAAAATATTATAGAATATACTTGGTTGAATACATACTTTTTTGCATTGTGCAAACCTGTTCAGGTTTCTGAATGCAAATAGGAGAAACAAAAAGTACAGCTTCTGAAAATTACTATTTAAAACACAAACACACACCCCTTATACAAACACTACATTTTCTATTTTTTTTACTAGTAAAAAAAGTCTTTTTGCCCTTTCTCCAGTGCCATAATTACCATGGAAACAGAACTGAAAATTAAAACAGAAATAACATGGTTTATGCTCACAATAAAATAAAACATACCCCAGAGTTTAACTCAACCAACATCAACTGCCTGGTTTTTGATGAGTGAAAATTTAATTTCAGTTTTCTGAGAAAATCTTGAGGTAGTTCCCTGTTTGGGAGCGGAGAACTGACAGCACAGAAAGGGCCCAATCTTCAAAAGACCTGCCTGGCTGATGTGTCTACGCAGGACACATGGAATTTGCACATTTTTTTGAAATCTGTGTCGGTATTTATTTAGCTAAATAGCTTTTCATTTAGAAAATCAAACACATGTTTTAGATCCTGAAAACCAGGCTAATGTATCTGTTTGATCAGATTAATCAGAATCATAATTTAAATTGTGTTCATTAGCGTGGGTGAGATTTGTGTGGTGAGGAAGGTTAGCTCTCCCAGGTTTCTCTCTCCCAGGTTTTTTGGTTTAACATTGTTTTTAATGGCTATGAAATCAAACCCTGCAACTACCTGCATAGTTCTATTGTCTCTTACACTTAAATTCTCATGAATGAAATTTCACAGTTCCTCATGTACAGTAAGTGTAATTCCTGAGAAAATGGGAAAAAACCCTTATTTTTTCTCACTTTTAAGAAGGGTGGAAGCACAAGCAAAAATTGACCTGACCATTTTTTGGTGAAATTATGAGACCTACCGGTGCAGAACAGTCTGTAGCCTGGTTTCTAAATATTTGTTTCAGCAAAACCTTCAACATCATTTGAGCCTCCATATATCTCTATGTGTGTGTATATATATATATAAAAATACGTATGTACAACATATAAAATATATATTTACATACACATGAATACTACCTTTAACCCTAAACATTGTATCTAAAAGGAAATTTTAGGTGAGAAAATAGCTACATACTATGGGACACCTTTTTATTTCACAGAACGAATAAAATAACTAAGTTCTGCCAAAGACTGAATGTATGAGTTTGAAATCTTAACGTGTACAACTTTGGATCCAATTATTTAAACTTTACTTCACAGAACTGTTTTACATTAGCGCTATCATGTAAGTTCTTTATTAATTACAAATGATCAAAATATTTAGCTCCCTATTAATTTTTACTCTCCCATACTGTGAAATATCCTCTAGCAGTGAGTTTAATTTTCCTTTTATTACTGCAATGCCATGATTATAACATGTTTCAAGGTAATTCAGTGCTTCACTGAATACAGGGAATGAAGAAGGAAGTAATCACTACAATACATTCTCTAGGAGCCTGAATATTCTTAAGTCTCATTATTTTTCCCTAACAAGGAGTTTATTGTAGTAATGATTTATTCAGGGCATCTGAAATTACGTTTCTTTTAAAAATCAGGTCGCCCAAGAACACCAAAACTAGACAAGGCATTAAAATACATTTAATGAAACTTCCAACAAATGCAATTGGCAGGACACAAAGCTTTTCAGCAGGAGTTGTAGTTCAAACTGCTTATTAAGATAACCTCCTGTGGAGAAGTTTACCTCTCATGTTAGTTTTTATGTCCTTTCCTTGTCTTGTTTTCATTTGGCAGTAAACATACATTCTGTCCTGTTTTGCAAAACCTGGAACTAAGAATAACTTAAAAAGTTTTTTAAGTTATTCCATGTGACAAATATTAAAATAATGATCAAACATTTCTAGGACTTCGTTTATTGCCAAATTCAGTTAGGCACCCACCAAAATGTAGGAAATTCTTACCTAGTAGCTAGGTCTGGTATTTGTGTTAGTTGGAGTTCTGAATGAACAGAGACATAAAAAAAAGCTTAACAGCTTGGCCTAGTACAATGCTTCCAAAAAAATTACAGGTAGTTTCATATATGTGTACAATCTAAATATTACCTCTCTTCCTCTTCTTGCATCTTTGAATGGGTTTGGTAGCTGTGCTCTGTTTCTCCGTACGTATCCATGTGACCCAGTATTGATGTTTCAGTGTCATTTTGTAGTTTAACAAGACTATTTTGTAATTTTACATTCTCATGTTCCAGTTTCTTAATGGAAGCTGTGAAATTTCCATGTTCTTTGTTAGATAAATCTATACTCTGTGAAAGCACATAAAAACATCATTAAATAGTCAGTTTTTTCCTCAATAAATGGATGTTAGTGTTTTTAACAAGCAAACACCAAACGATGTTCTATGCTAAAGAAAGACCTAGCCACCATATATAATCATGCAGCACTTAGAGCAAACCAAGAGAATTGCCTCCAGAAAAAAAAACACTAGATAAATGGGAAAAAAGGGGTAGCAGCCTCTGTAACACAATAAAACGAATTAAAATTTCTCGACAAACATACATTCAAAATATTATTGTTATAAATTCATTGCTTGCTCTGTAAAACTTATGACATAAAAGCAGCCGTAACAGCTATAGCTGCAGACTGTATTGCTCCCTCCAGTAACAATTCCACCAAAAATAACAAGAAAAATTATAGAAGTTCATTACTATACTACATCCAGGGTATGTCTACAGGCACGATTTAATATCTGTATTGAGACACAGTCACCTTCGGCTTCAGAAGCAGTAAAGCCACATTAGCACAGTGCTCTCCATCTGTGGTACTAAACTCTAAACTTCTAAACTAAACTTCTCAGCTGGGTTGGCCCACATGGTGTAAAAGTCAAAATACTGAAAATGCGAGTGACACGTGCACTGTGAGCAGGGGCTAACGATGCCCATCAACTGGAATATGAAGAGAGGAAGATGGAGAGGAAGATGGAGAGCAGTTCTGGATGCTGACTGGCCAGGATGCTCCATTTCTTTTTTGTCCTTTCTCTTATTCCATGAAGCCCACGCTGCACACCGAGCTAGCTAATCTGGAACTAGTCCTCTGCAGGATTCTGCACTGCACTGTGTAAATATATTTGCAATTACAGTATACTGTCATCAACAGAAAATTCTCAAAAGATTTATCAGATTTCAGAAGACTGAAAACTCATACAGTTTATTAAGTTGTCCTTCCATCTATTTCTAGATTTACCTTATTCTTTGGGAACCCAGTAATTCATGAGTATTAAGGTTTGGGTTCTTAGTATACTGCCAGCACAACCGGGCTCCTGCACCTGAAAGCTCATCTATTCCTTGCACTAACTGCTCTGATGTCATCTCTTCCTGTAAACCTTGCCTTGTTTAGCTAGTTTTAGGGGAAATTTATGATCCAAGCTGTCATGGAAGTGCCAGAAAGTATAAGAAAATCTAATTTTTTGTGCAAGGATAGGGAGAAGAGAGGAAGGAGTGTGCTATGTCACCCTGCCACTAATAGCTCTAGAACGAGCAGTACAGTTATAATGGCATGAACCCCAAAACTGAGCTGGCAACAGCCACATTGCTTTTAAAATCCAAAGGGGTAACCCTGCCTGATGATGCCTCACACCACACTGACTCAGCCTGGCACTAGTTTGAGGGCTCTACTGTACTATACAGAATCACAGAATCACAGAATCTTCTAGGTTGGAAGGGACCTTAAAGATCATCTTGTCCAACCGTCAACCTAACTGACAAAAATAGACACCCGCACAACAAACAAGGAGCATCATCACTAAACCATACCTCCCAGCACTACATCAACCTGTCTTTTGAACACCTCCAGGGATGGTGCCTCAACCACCTCCCTGGGCAGCCCATTCCAATGCCTGATAACCCTTTCAGTGAAAAAATGTTTCCTAATATCCAGCCTGAACCTCCCCTGGGGTAACCTGAGGCCATTTCCTCTTGTCCTGTCGCCTGTGACTTGGGAGAAGAGACCGACCCCCACCTCTCTACTCCCTCCTCTCAGGGAGTTGTAGAGAGCAATAAGGTCTCCCCTCAGCCTCCTCTTCTCCAGGCTGAACAACCCCAGTTCCCTCAGCCTCTCCTCACGAGACACGTTCTCCAGACCCCTCACCATCTTTGTCGCCCTTCTCTGGACCCGCTCCAGCACCTCAATGTCTTTTTTATGGTAGGGGGCCCACAAACACATCTGTAAAAATCTCTCCAGCCCCTGCAATTTTAATATCCAAATACCTCACAATCTTTAATGTTTAGATCCTCACAATACATTAGTCAATCAGGAAATAATTATTAAATCCCCAAACACATTGACACGTGTAGTGACCTTGATATATGTAGTAACCAGATTTTACCCTTAAAATTTAACAAACAAGTGACTCTTGTCCTACAGCTCTTCTCCTACTTGCTTAAGAATAACACTGTAGAGAAGAGCTAGATATGGATCCACACATCCATGGATGTTTCCACAATAATAGATCATATCTACACATATATATCCATATATTGTACATGTATATGTAGGTAATACATCACTTGATAGACATACACGCAATTTTAAGGGAGTGGAAAATGGGATGTCCTTTCATGCATTTGTCAGTTTATGGTAAGACAATTAACAGGCTACAAATCCCCTGAAAATGAATTTACAGCAGTATTTACAAGTAACATTCCAGTGTTTTTTCTGGTGATAGATACAATAATCCAGGTGTTCTGTAAGCATAGGATGTTTTGAAGCTTTTTGTGGAAAGCAGCTTATTTATTGTATCCATATAAATTATAATTCTACCTGATGTTATGGCACACTTTTTATGAATTAAACTTTAAATACCTCCTGTTTGGAGAGAATTAAATACTAATCTCTGAAAATACACTGCGTGGGCACAAAATGTGTCAGTTTTTTACACTGTTATTTAAATACCATATGAACAAAGGGGTAAAATAGTGAAAAAGGGACATATTTTTGCATCTGTGAGAATGATGACTGTTTAAAAATAAATATTTTCTGAAATAAGTGGCATGACTTACAAAAAATAGGTGCCCAGAAACTGTTTAGTGTCTAGACAGTTACTGAAAAATTTAGCTTGTTTCTACTTTACTACTATTAAGGTCAAAATTATTCCCAGCTATACCCACCTCCAGGCTGTGTGTGAATACCACTTGCTTTTGATTGTGTCATACACCTTCTTTTTAATAATTTTTTTCATGCAAGCCAGAAATATCTAAATCTGCCATGATGTCAATCTACATTTATAATAAATATAAGTGACAGTTCTGCATATTGCATAGTTTAAAAAAAATTACCATGCAACTTTTACATTCCTGGTTTTCCACCATCTCTTTTAGATGTGTGTTTTCAGATTTGATAACTCTGTATCGGAAATCCAACAACTAGGAAAAGATTAATTTCTTAGTTAAATACAAGAACATTACTGTTAACTGGAAATAGCACTGCTTATTAATACATGTAAATTCAATTTTACAAGATATACATAAAAATATATGTAATAATAGTATAATGTATATAATAATAAATGTATATAATAATAACTGCAATAATTCTTTTTTAAATACAGCAATACTAAAGCAGAAAGAAGTCTCAAAATGTCTCTGAAAGCTATACAAATGCAATGCCTCTGATTTTATTTACTTTTTTGAAAGAAGTAATCACTTAGGAAAATAAAGGAGGTCAGAGGCATTTATGAGATACAAAGAGGGAGAGATTTTGCAGGCCACTGAAACTGGACTCCTAGACATAAAGCCTAGTGATGACATCCCCTCTTTCAGTGACACGAGAGGAAATATGGTCTGGCAAAGAGTACCACAAAGTAGGAGAAATCACTCATTTTCCCAAACACTAACTTTCCTATTGTCAAAAGTAAAGTCGTACATTAATTACGATTTTCAATATGCAGGGACCCTCTCAGAAAACCCAGAGATACCCAGAAACTAAATATGAAGGTTCTTTTGGTTTACAAAACTAAGTAATGAAGGTAACATACTTCTTTTTAAAACTGAAATTTGCCATTAAAACACTGGTATCTTACAGTTTTCAGCTTTAAAATTACCAGACTTTCCTCAATATATTTGTAACACTCTTCAAAAAGCATTCAAAAAACTTGAAAAATTAGGAAACATTCTAGTAAAAGGTTCTAATGATAAAGTTTTCAAGATCTTTTGCATGTTGAAATGATAACTAAGTTTGATGGTCAGAAGGAATTGCAATTTTGATGTACAGTTGACATTTACTGATGTTTTCTTGTTCCAGTATCAATTTGGCTGCTTTAATAATACTTCACAGATATTACAGCACTGCTGATGGAAGCTACAGCAAGAAATGTAATGTCTTCTTTCACAGATAATGTATGTCATTATCAATAGTGTGGAGTAAAACGATCTGGGCTGGTTTTGCCTGCTTGCATACCTGTTGTTTTGCTAACAATTTGTCTTTTATCTCTAACTCCATTTTTAACTGTCTTTCCAGAAGACTAGCTTTCTCCATGATAGTTGCTATAGTGATCTCCTTCTGATGAAGCTCTTCTGTCAGGTCAGAGATTTCTGTCTTCATTCTTTCCTGCTCAGAGCGATGGGACTGCTCCTCTCGATAAAGATGGTTTCTTATCTGTAGCAAATATGTTTCAAAAAGAAAAAAGGTTGTGCAGTAAATATGATTGCATCACTTACTACCTAGTAGTGGCTTTTTTTTGATGTTGCTTCCAAGATCCCAACTCTTCTAACCAAATCAGAGACTTTTGAGATTTTATAATAAAATGTCTTCATGAGTCAGTGCACACGGCTTTGTGTTCGCATCTTTTTTCAATCCTTCTCTTGTGTTTTCATTTGCCTTTTTAGTATTAGAACAGCATTTGTCAATTTTAGAACATATTACAAGGCATTTAAATTAACATTTAAAAAGAATGTAATAAAAATGATGTTAATTTTAAGAATTGGAATTTATGGCAAAGAATATCCAAGGAAATATCCATTCAATAAACCTAAGTATGATTTATTTATATTGCTCCCAAGTTAATTCTGGTTTAAAATAAGTTTAATGTGGCCTAAATTAACTTGGGAGCAATATAAATAAATCAATCTAGAGCCTCTTTAATGAGAAACTGTTAGAAATAAAGAATGTATATAGTAAATTACTTTATGAGGATCTTTCCTGCCATTATAGATAAAATTTAAGGTCAAACTTTCTGCACTATCTCCTGTACAGAGTTCTCCAAAGAATCAACACAAAGATTGTTTTCATAATCCTCCTATTATAACCAACAATTTAGTACTGATAGATTTTTGTATTATGTAAGAAACAAAACTAGAAAAGGCAGTACAACAACCTTTGAACCCATTTTAATAATTCCTCGCAGTACTGCGCACAATCGGTAGCAGATGGCACTTCATTTAATTTATGCAAACTACACAGAAATTCTAGAATTGTCAACAAATAGATGGAGATGCGAAAAACTTAAGAGCTAGATCATGACCATCATGCCAAAATCACTGCATCCAAGTCAGCTGCATGCAATTAGAATCATAGAATCATAGAATTGTCCAGGCCGGAAGGGACCTCCAAAGGCCATCTAGTTCGACCCCCCCGCAGTCAGCAGGGACACCCCCAACTAGACCAGGTTGCCCAGGGCCTCGTTGAGCCTCACCTTGAATATCTCCAGGGAAGGGGCCTCAACCACCTTCCTGGGCAACCTGTTCCTGTGTTATACCACCCCTACAGTAAAGAACTTTCTCCTCATCTCCAATCTAAATCTGCTCCCCTCCAGCTTAAAGCCATTGCCCCTCGTCCTATCCCTACAGGCCTTTGTAAACAGGCTCTCCCCAGCCTTCCTGTAGGCTCCCTTCAGGTACTGGAAGGCTGCTATTAGGTCTCCCCAGAGCCTCCTCTTCTCCAGGCTGAACAACCCCAGCTCCCTCAGCCTGTCCTCATAGCAGAGGTGCTCCAACCCCTTGATCTTTTTAGTGGCCCTCCTCTGGACCTGCTCCATCAGGTCCATATCTTTCCTATACTGAGGGTTCCAGACCTGCACACAATACTCCAGGTGAGGTCTCACCAGAGCAAAGTGGCAGAATCACCTCTCTGGACCTACTAGCAATGCATCTTTTGATGCAGCCCAGGATGTGATTGGCCTTCTGGGCTGCAACTGCACACTGCCTGCTCATGTCCAGCTTCTTGTCCACCAGCACCCCCAAGTCCCTTTCCTCATGGATGCTTTCTAATACCTCACCCCCTAGTCTGTACTGATGGCAAGGATTGTTCCAGCCCAGGTGCAGAACCTTGCACTTGTTCTTGTTGAACCTCATGAAGTTCACCTGGGCCCACCTCTCCAGGCTGTCCAGGTCCCTCTGGATGACATCCCATCCCTCTGGTGTATCGACCACAGAGCTTGGTGTCATCTGCAAACTTGCTGACGGTGCCTTTAATCCCTCTGTCTATATCATTGATAAAAATGTTAAACAGTATTGGTCCCAGCACAGACCTTTGAGGGACACCGCTTGTCACTGCTCTCCATCTGGACTTCGAGCCATTGGGTACCACCCTCTGGATGCAACCATCCAGCCAGTTCCTTGTCCACTGAACAGTCCACCCATCAAATCCGTACCCCTCCAGTTTGGCAAGGAGGATGTTGTGGTGGATCGTGTCAAAGGTCTTACAGAAGTCCCTGCTTACATTTGCTACTCAGCAAAACCACGACAAGCTTGTGAGATGAGTTCTGAGAATCCTCTACTTCCAAAGTGTTTTGGCCTGCCAAGCCATATGCCATCCCACAGTGCCACGCCACTGCTGGTCCCATGCAGCACTTCCGAAATGTGCAATGCAACGTGATGAACAGTTCTAACAAAAGAGCAGTGCCCTAGACCGTGCAGCAGGTGACTCGTTAAGCTCAGCCTTGTGGAGTACCTGCCCCAGTGAGTTGTATCAGTTGATTTGTTGATGTATCTTACATCTGAGACCACCTGCAAACTACTACCTACCTCCTATAGCCTATGAACTACTCATAGCCTTGGAGGGTTTATGACTTGCAAGGTATTATCTGAGTACGCGTAGGCACAGTCTCTTCCATAATTCCAGTGAAGTAGATGGCTGTGGTGTTAGTGCACAGAGTCAGAATGTCAGCTGTACGGTAATACAACTACCTCCAGAAATGCAACTATATATGAAAACATTTTCATATAAGAAAACTTCATACTCTCCTGAAGCCACAATTTATCTGCCTGATCTCTTTTGTGTATGGACATAGCCAAGGTCAGTACTCAGCTCTCTTTTTAAAATCACTCATTGCACTTAAGATCTGGAAATACTTTAGAATATGAAATACCTTGTTTAGCTCTTCTAGTTGGTGTTCTTGACTTTGTGCCAATAGGAATAACTCAGCGTTTTTATTTTCTAGTTGTTCAGTAAGTTGCACACAAGCTGATTGATGCCTTTAAATAAGAAATAAACAAAACATGAAAAAAGCAGAAAGTTCAATAACCTTTACCTTACAGTAGCCTCTCCTCAGTGTAAAGCTGTGGAAGACCTGCTCACTGACAGAAAAAAAAAACAATGAAAAGATTTGACCTACACCAGGTTCGATCTTGGAAGATATCTAGAGACTAAGGTCAACGCAAGCGCCTGCAGAAAGAATCCTGAAATGTCTTGTAGATTAGTATTTCATATAATCTCAAATAGCTATGGTAGATTAGATAAACCATAAGAAGATGAACATTTTACTCCAAGGACCTTAGGGAGAATTTTAATCGCAATATTTCCAAAGTGTTTTGATGCCGAGAAAATGAAAGGCGCTGTAAATATATAAATAGAAATAAATGAAATTCATTGATTTTTAAAGATCTAGGCAGCATTAAAGCCTTTTAACAGAGCCTGCATCTAATGCCTGCAATCTTGTCATATATAATTGCTAATGAAAACGTTTATTCCAAAATTGTTTAGAATCTAACATTTGAATCCAGAGTATCCTTTTAAACAGACTTAATTTAAATCAACTGTAAGAAAAGTTATTAGCTCAGAAGTACTTGTTGATTTAAATATTGTCTTCAACATACATACTGTATTTGACTTTCCTGCATATCTTTATAGTCTCTGATTTTCAATAATTCTGTATGCAACTGTTGGCATTCCAGTTGTATCCTTCTCCAGCGAGCATCCCGTGACTGCAGCTCATTTCTCATTTCTGAAAAGTCTGCCTCCATGTTCTAAATAAACAAGCAAATACATAAATAGTTAAATAAAATGAGACAGTAGTAGCTCAAGATGCTGCATTTTAACACATAATTTTTGATACCTGGATAATTTGTGTAAAAGTACATTCATGCTTTTATATTGAGTTTCATTTCTGAAAAAGGCATTGCTTTCATGTCAGTTCCTTTCTCCAGAAATGTCATCTAAAAAATATGATGCTGAATATTCTTTAGCTCTTGCAATGTTCCAATGCATCTGTCTCTGAAACTATCATAGGAAGTATCATTCAGAAGTTCTTTATTGTACTAAATGCATCTAAAATGATACATAGTCTGCTTGTTTCAGCAGGTTCTTTACCCTAGAACATGCTTCACATGCAGGAATTAGTGCCATAAGTAACTTGCATTTTCTGTTTTCTTAACAACATTTCCAAATTTATAAGCTTGAAAACTACAAGGCTATAGAAAGTCAGGATTAGGTGCATGTCTTCACTAACCATTGCCTGGAAGCTTGGAGCAGATACGTGTAGATTTAAGTACTTAGATAAGGTGTGTGCTCAATCATGTTCAAAAATAGTTCTATCTACACGGAGCTAATTGCTTATTTAAATGAGCATTACAAAATTTAAAGCAATCACAAAAGGATTTTTCTTAGGGACTCCAAAAATCTTGTCTCTATTTTATACCAAAACCATACCCAAGATAATAACTTGGACATCTAAGCAACAAATAACAAAATTAGCAATATTAATAAAATTCTTACAATAATAATACCCAGAGAATACTTATTTCCTCTCACCCAAGATCCAAAAGCAGATAAAAAAAAATTTCCAAGGGTGTTGATCCTTTGCCTTTAAAACTACTGCACTAAAAACAGCAGCATTTTTCATCACTTCTTCATTTTATTTTAATATAGTTTCCATATTTAAAAGCAAAAATAAAGCCTTTAAACTTTCAAAAGACAACTGGAATCCAGAAATGACACCGCATGCAAGGAACTTCAAAGGTCTATTTCCCTTAGAGCCTCATATGAGAATGACCTTCCTTCCAAGAAGCCTGTGGTTTTCCTCTGGCTGAAAGGGCTGCCGAAGACAGATATGAAGCGCTTTTCCGTTTTTTATAGGGACTGCATATACAGATTCATTCATCTTATCCTTTGTTAAATTAAGGCTGAGAGCGCTTTTTTAAACTCAGAAATGCAAGTCAGGGCATATTCAAGTGAAATAAAGCTTAATGAATTCTTAAAATTGTCTGCAAGACTTGCTTGTGATCATCTTTGTGATTTCAACATTCAAGAAATATCCACAATTATTTTATAATATGTGGATTTGGGGGAGGGTTACCTCTCTTATTTCATTCTGGGGTAGATAAGGGGACTGAATGCTGCACAATTGCATAGTGAAACTCATATCGTCTGTGGCAGGCTGCAGTCATCGTACATATTTACATAAATTGTATTTTCTTCTGTGAATTATAATAACAGCATGAGCAACAGCAGCCACAGCAGCAGTCACAATAATAATTGAAACAGAACTTCAGGTCAAGAGCTTCACACATCACTTCAAAAAAATAATTTAGAGATGTACCACTTATTATTTTAGGAAATATCTATTGCATCTAATTAAAACACCAAAATGAAAATTAATTTTGAACTAGAAAACTTTAGGTTTTGTTTAGAAAATAGGTAATAAAAAACTTTAAAAAATCTTTTTCAAGGTTAAAAATTTACCAATTTTCTTCTGTGAAAAGTCTTGCTTCAACTAGCTTGCTGTGTTTGATACCAAAAGGAAGTTTTGTTGTCAAAAAGTTCCTGATCAGCTCCTGTTTTACTTCTAGTCAAAGCTGTTCAACCTTTTAAATATAATTATATGGTCTACTTCTATGTAAATTAGCGTCCAGCAGCTGACTTAATGCAGACTTCCAAGAACCAAGCCTCCTGCATGATGTTTTCAGGCTGCCTCTCATATATGACTGCAATTAAGTTTGTCTGACCATTCATAAGGTAGAGAAATAGTCTGCAGTCCCAGCTTGGATCTTCTAATGTTCATATTTTCTTTACATCCAACAAACTGGTCTTCCATACGTTTCACTTTATCCCTGTTTCCTTGCTAATTAATAGCATGAGAAAAACATTTAGAAGCAGATGGGAAATGGTCATAGGCATAGAAGATTTGCTGCCATTGCCATCAGCCTTCTCCCCACCAAGATTCCCATTTACTCCTCCCTCCTTTACCCACAACAGCTCCACCCATTCCCACCCTCCACCCAGCACTCCTTCACACAAACCTCTTACTCCTCCTGGCTCACAACAGGCCTTGCACTTCCTTCTTTCTCATACAGACATTCCTGAAGAATACTTTCTCTGAGCTACACATTTTCACCATACATCGACTTTACATCAGTGTTTCCCTCCTGCATTTATTTGCAAATGTGGCCCTTCTAACTAACCCAGGGGTATTCCACGCCACCAGCACAGCTGTTCTGCAACTTCCTGCCCTTTAGCTGGTGATGTTATGTACATCTACCTCCACTTCTACTTAAAATGTCTTCAGTGCTTCCTACAGCTCCTGTATTCTATTGACATGATTCCAAAAGGCGTCTCCTTTGAAGATTTTCCTAAAGGCCCCAGCAGAATGACATCTACTCTCTCCATGGTAGAGCATCTATCCACCTGCTCCAACTGCCATGATCTGTTTCACTCCCTATTCTAGTCCCACTGCTTGTGATGGCAGCCCTTTAGCAGGCGCCAAAACTGAGGTTTTTCCTTTCATACCCACAGCCTGTATACAGGCACAGCATTCTGTGAGCTCATGTGCAAATGACATGTATAAACATCGCACGCGCTAAACTTGGCAGTTCTGACACCACCTGAAATTAACCTCCACCATATATATGTTAATTCCTATAAAGTATATTGCATATGAAATTATAACTCTGCAAGGTTGTCTATAAACAGAAATGGATTATTTTTTTCCAGAAAGAGTTGAAGTTACTATAGGCCACTCAATACATTACTGAACCTTGAAGTGCTTAAATAAATAAGCAAAAGCATAATTTATATATGTTACCACAAAAAAAAAGAGCAACAAGAATCTCATTCCTGATCTGTTTCAAGCATAGCTAATAAAAAATGCTGTAAAGGTCTTCTATTGTCTTAATCTTGTCAGAACTCATATATCATGATCCAAAAAAGTGTCCCAAATGGGTGTCTTCACAGTTCAGTGCTATGTTGAAAAACGGTAAACTAGGGATAAGGTAACAACTGATGGCTCTTCACATGGCTGGCAACTTAAAAATTCATTGACTGCAAAATCTTCTCTCAATAATAAAGTATACAGTACACTTTTTCATACACTTATTTACTAGCTATATGGCACAGTCTGCAACAAGGTGTAAATCAGATAAAGAGATGTCATCGAAGTCATTTATATTCAAGGAACCAAGTGAACTAGGCTAAATTCCTGTAGATGCTACAGATATGGGAAAGTTATAAACCCCTAGATAAACAGACAAGAATAACATACACTACTCCACATCAAATGTATTTCTGCTTTCTCTTCAAGTGTTACTCAACAAATTGAACTGTTCACAGCTCATTCTGTGTTCCTGCAAAGAATATACCTAATGTAAGGATCTTTTATACAGGCATCTCAGCACAACTTTTTAAAGTATACTCCTCAGTAATTAATTCTCCAACATTAATTCCACAGTCATCATGAAAAAGAAAAACTATTACTACCTGGCACTGGTTTTGGTACATTTTTAGATCCTCCCGGAGTTTCAGATTTTCCTCTTCTAGTTTATTCTTGTTTATTGCTATTTCATTCACAGTTGCCTTTAACTTTTCAATAATCAACTCTTCCTTTTCACTTTGGGGCTGTTCATAGGTAATTACCTCTTCTAGGTTCTGTTTCTTATTGCTTATTTGGAATTGATAATTCGGGGTCTGCTTCTATAAAACAAGAAAATCCTTTAAATGAAATTCAAAAATTATATGTAATTTGTTAGGACCAAACCATTACTACTAAAATCATAAAGCTATTTCTATTTCACCAGTATTTGCTTAGAAAAGTATTTGCTTGGAACAGTTTGCATTGCTTTCTCTAAAGGATACTTCCTTGTTTTAGTCTGAAGTTCTTTGGCCTCAGTAAGAAAAATGCCTCAGAAACTTTCAAGGGCACAGAATTTTTTCAAGGATTTTTCTCCTCTGCTGTGTGTTTCTCTAGCACTCGATGTTAATTAGCCCCAAATGTGAAAAAGGTGATTATGATGACCTACTCAAAGCAGTTACCTATAAAAAATAATTTGAGGGAAATGTTCCTCTGTGATTCACTGAACTCAGTAGGAGTTGTGTGTGTGCGCGCCTCGGGATAGATATTAACCTTTGACTGGAGGAACAGTGTTACAGAGTTCATGTATAAACAGCTCAGTTACTACAGTAACTGTATTTCTTTGATATCATTATCCTTAAACTTGGGGAAGAATCAATTGCACATCCTGCCGAGTCCCACTGTCCGCGCAGTTTCTTGTACTAATTAAAATCCTAAATCCAATACTTCAGAAAATCAGTATCGCCAGTATTTGTGAATTCACAGGCATCGTGAAGAAGCATAATTACTATGGTAACTGGTTTTGCTGTTTAAAAAATTATCCACATGCGTCCCTCTACTGGGAGATTAACAAGCAGCAATAATCTTTCAGAAGACTGAGAATTTTCTGAAAAATGACAACAAACTATAAGCTGGAAACCATATTTCATGCACAGAGATCAAGTTGAGCAAGAAAATGTATATAAACAATACATAGAGTTACAGATATCATATTTCATGGATAAGGACTGCAAAAAGGCATGCGTTAGACAGCTTTTGATGTCATTGACTATGTTCCCATAATTTATGTTGGGTGAACACCTAAGTAGAACTGACCACTGGTATCAACTAAAAAGCCAAAAGAAATTTGCAGGTATGTTACATTTCTATAGATAATAAATTAAGGTCCCCCTGACATCTAAGTTATGTAGTCTGGCATATCATAATGTCAAAGCATCCTGTGAAAAATATGATGCATGACTCCAGCTGCAAATCAAAGACCTCACAAAAGGAATTGAGCCAAAGACCCAGGACCAAACAAAGATTTTTGATACCATTAAGGGCTAACAGTTCTTCAGATTTCTGTTTAACAAGCCAGTTGGTGGTATGGCACAGTCTTGAAGAAAATTGTCTTCAAAGAAAGTTCACTGATGGCAACAATGTAAGCCTCCACATAAAAATGTGGATGATCACCTTGAGTACTCTATTTTGACTTGTCTAACTATATAATCAACATGCATCAGTCAGTAGTTTTGTCTAGTCAAAAACCTTGTTTTTTTAAACACATTTGTATAGAATTTCAATAGTTGCAAACCCAAACCCCAAAACTTAACTGTCACCCTTGGAAACTCTGGATATCGGTAAAGAGTCTCATAGGAATTGCTAAGAAAGCATTTCACTAGATTAAGATCCAGTGAGATTAGTAACAGTGGAAAAGGGGATTTACCAGTTAGCACCGTAATTGGCTTCCCCTTACTTAATTTTCAAGCTGTCTTGTGGCCCAGTTAACTTGTAAGTTATTTTCTAATTTTTTTTTAGAGCAGGATAGGTCATCAAGACATCATTAAATCATTAAATCTTTTGTGTTCTGAATTGGAAGGAATTAAAAAAACAAAAATATGCTGGATCAATAGCAAATCGGTTAGTAAAAAAGAATCACAAAGTCAACCAAGGACTGAATTGTAACTTGAAACTGAAAAATATGATAAAAAAAGGGTTAAGTGATCCAATAAACAACAAGTTCGATTTTGGAGCAGCATGTAGAAATTCATTTTTCTGCATAAATAACATTAATGTGTATTTATGATCTTCAAAAAAATGAAGGCTATGTTAGATTTGAGGGAACTTTATATTTAAATCAACATAGTAATGGCATGTACTTATTACTTGGTAAGATATTTTTCAATAACTTGTCATCACAATTAATTGCCTATTAGTGAAGCATAAAAGCATAGCATACAATATAAAACTATCTCAACAGTATACTTAAAAAAGTAAAAAGGAACATGCATCACTTTTTGCAGGTATTTTAAAATCAGAAATATTGTCATTTTCATCATGATACTAATTTTATCATTTTCATGAGAAAAATTAAATTAAAATAACTGTGTATCATTAGTTCTTTCAGTATGGGCCTGCCTTACCTAAAGCAATGCATTCACTACCAATATATCCATTTATTGTCAGATTCACTGTAAATTCAGAGGTGTTCAGATTTTAAAAATTAAGTTAAAATAACTAGCTGAGCTAACAGCTCCATGTGTCCCTAAAGTAGGAAGGTGGGAATTTTACCTGAAATAAATTACATTTCTTGGACAATGATTTTTGTTGAGCGTCTAAATAAACAAGATAATTTTGGCAGATTGTCCCCTTCTCATCCCATTCTCTTAATTTTGCCTTAAATTCCTGAAAGACAGCAAAACAAGGCTAGTAAACACAGGGAAATAACTTTTAAGTTTTTATTTTAAAATAACTCTTATTTAATCTAAATAACTTTGTAATTTGCATAGTTCTAAGAAAAATCTAGTTTTTAAATTAATAAATAGTCTTTCCACAATTTTCAGAAGACGAAAAAAAGACCAATGATATAAACCAGCCATTCAGTCATCCCCACCAGACAAAATCCAGTCGTAATGGCTGTTCATCTGAAGAAAAACAGTAGTAAACATAATCATTGAATATAAATGATAAAATATTTTAGATCACTTCCATTGCTGCAGATTTTAAGATTATGACTAGATTATTACACCCGTCGATTTGGAGGGCAGTTCCTGTGACTTTAAAGCTGTATCAGTGTCAAGTAGAGTACTCAGCAGAGAATCAAATTCTTAATATTCAGGCAAATGTTTTGAGTGCTTGCTTTTTTTTTTTTTTTAACAAATGGGACAGCAGCTACTATGGATAAATTTTACTTCTTGCTGTCTTTACAATTGCTGCTTCTGGTTCTGAGGTCACCTAGTTTAAACAAAAACTTGTTAAGCAAATTCTATTATATCAGATTTATCTAATACTATTTTTGTAGTTGCACTTCTATTCCTATTCATAGTGTACTTGAAGTTGGTCTTAAATCTTACTAGATCTTTTATGTTCACAACTAGACTTTAAAGGCAGTATCCTACAAAATAAGTAGAACTCCAGTTACTAGAGCTGTTGCTCTTTAGTTTGAAGGATTAGCAAAATAACAGTATACTCTTTTATACAGTGAAAAATATAATACGTATAAACTGTTATGAGATCTTCCTTTTTCACAATGGAAATGTTTCCAAAAGGACATATGCTTTTTTATAATTACCTAAACTGGTGTATACCCCATATTTAAAAAAATAAGATTTTATTTGCTACTGAAACAAAATTGAATGCCTTCCAACATAGATTATTAATACAAATCGTCTCTGTTATAGCTTTGGTAATATCTGCTTTGCCATTTTAAACCAATAAACATCTTCCCATTTTACAAAATGTGATACAAATGGAGCTTCAGACTACTTAATGAAGACTGCAGGTTCAAGGCCTTACTAAAGCACTGCTGAGCTCAGTAGATTTTCAACACAGTCATTATTTCCTGAATACTAGAATTTGCTGAATATATTCCAAGCACTCATTTTCCATACTGCATAATTAATCAAATTATTCTTGTGTTACATTATTTTCACATTTTAATCTTGAATAAGGTCATTCTCAAATTAGCTGGATCAGACAGTTTCACAGTAGTGATATATTTAGTCAAGGATAGATGTATAACCCATTTATTATTCTTGTAGCAGCAAATGTTGGCAGCTATGCTGCCATCCAAAGCACAGTAGCTTCTCTGATGATGAGGACTCTTCCTTGTGAAGAGACAGTAACATTATGTAGAGCTAATGCACGTCTAGGATGTGTCCTGTTTTGTAGGTATAGTCACCTGAAGGTCACAGAATTTATTCCTATATCTTATAGAATAACACAGAAGATAGGCAAGTGCAAAAAGATCTTAAACCCCTGCTTAATTGCAGCTTAAGTATTAAAGTATTTAAAATCTATTTGTTCTCAAATTTTTGATTGTAAAGTTCCCAGAGTCTCTAAATAATCTATATCATAAATCTACATAAATCTACATCATAAGCCTGTACATCTTCACAAGGCTTAGCATCTAGGCAACACGCGCAGACTTTCAACTGGTATTCCTCTGCTGACTTTCCCTACAGGACCCAGGTTAGTAAATGCTTGAAGCACACACTACTTTATCATGCTCTTTACAAAGGATGGCAAGGGAAAAATGTAAATTATTTTTGTGATCCTCTTATGCTTCCTCAAACTAGTGGTTAGACTGTTCTCCCCACATGTGGAAGACAGTTTGATAATCTCTGCAGGCAGAATCTGAACCAGAATCTTTCCATGTTAATTTTTTACCTAACAAACAAATGTTATTTTTCAACAGGTTCTGGAATTCTTCCTTTTGAAGCTGTTTTACTTTGCACAGGATACCAGCAAATTTATTGGGTGAGAAAGAAGAAGCAAAAATTATCATAGAGATTACATCACTCAGTTATAAGAAATGAGACTGGATATATCAGTTTCTGCACCAGTGAACGTAGCCAGAAGAGTATTTGGGGAGAAACCACCATTTGGAGGCACACTCTTGATATGTCAATTCTCTGTGCTGGCTGACTCTCCTGTTGGCCCTGATAAATATTTGATTATTCCACGGATCATAAAGTAACTCCTAACTCTGAGAAGTAAAGGCCAGGAATTATGATGGGGCTGGGGCTTTGAGCAACCTCATCTAGTGGGAGGTGTCCCTGCCGATGGCAAGAGGTTTGGAACTTGATGATCTTTATGGTCCCTCCCAACCCAAACCATTCTATGATTCTATGATCAGAACTTAGTATCTCCCTGTATCCAAGAATGTCAGCTAAAATCCAATCTGCCCCCAGAGGGATAGGGAATATGAGGAATCCTGTCCTCAGCATCTCATACTGTCTAGTCCCCTGCTCAGTATGCTGGATTCTGTGGAATGTATTTTTAAGTGATGAATCCTTTACTAATGCGTTTCCTAGGGAAACGAGGCACGAGGTCACAGATTGCCTCAGGCACAAGGCTGCTGACAAGATATGTGTGTAACAAGCAGTTTTCCAGTCCTAAATCCTTTTTCTATCTAGCCTTATGTGGTGAAAGTTGTCCTGAGGTCTATAAAACTTGAATTAATGGTAGGTATTATGTGACAGTATCCTGCGTACGCAAAAGGTCTCATGCCTCAAGAGAATATATTATCCATATAAATATAAATATCCATACCCATATAAATCAGGAAAAAAGTTAAATTTATTTATAGTTATAGTTATGAAGAAAATTATCTATATTAACTCATAGAACTACTGAAAACTCTGATAAAACTTGCATAAAAGAACAAAACCTGAATATTAAACTATGCACCTTTTCTTGCCAGAGCAAGAAAATGATATAATTTTTGTAGAATTATCAGGAAATTAACGTTTACAACTGTAAACCACAAATTAGTTCTAAAAACATACTAAAATTAGAATATAATAACAAAGTATTCTTACCTCCAGATTCCTGTATAAATTGTTCAGTTCAGATGGTGTCTCTAGGCTTTCTGCACATTCTTCTCTACTTTCAACCTTTTTTTGTTTTAACTGATGTGACTGTAGCTTTTCATAACTGTGTGTCAACTTTGAAAACTAAAAATGAAAGCAGAGTTGAACATGCAGAATCTATCAAAGATATGGACAAAGCTTCCCGTAAACTAGAATCACCAACTGCAGCTTCAGCATTTTAAATATTTAATCGATGTAAGAAAGAACCAATTAATAAAGATAACTTATTAGAGATAAACAAGACTAAACTCCTATAAATGTTAACTGTTCAAACTGGTTCCTTTGACAGCTACTTAATTTTGCTGAAGTGACTAGATGATCTTTAAAAGTCCCTTCCAACCCAAACTATTCTATGATTCTTTATGGCACTCTTACCACAGAGTCGTTTCCCCTACAATATTTACATGAAACGTTCCATACTTGTTTACTGCCATCTTGTGTTGACATTTTTAAAGGGTGCTTCACCAGCCGGAATGAAGGATTATCATTAACATATTTTAAACTTGCACGTTTCTTTTTGGTCACAAAAATTGTTGAAATGTTAAGTGTGTGATGATTGCATTCTTCTGGAATCATTAAGTACCAAAGAATGTCTGTGAGAATTAGACACTAAATACAGTTCTGCCTCTTGAGCTTACCATGAAAGCATGGTCAGAGGCAAAGGAATCAGAGGCAGAAAAGGGAAGGTATCAGTAGAAGTACCAGCCTCTACAGAAGGTACCAGCCTCCTCAGAAGGTACCAGCCTCTTCCGAAAAATGGCTGGTCTGATCAACATTTCACTGTACTGCACAAGCAAAGGGACTAGTGGCCATTAACCAGCCTGATACAGCAAAGTGACATTGTCTGGTAGAGATACGTACACCTGGTTTGGGAAAAAAAAACACCAAAAACCCAAGGATATCGGCAAAGGAAACACTAAAAATATGGTCTTGAGAGAAGCCGAGTGAAAGAACTTTGAAAGGAAAGTTGAGTAGAAAAGAAGCTTACAACTATGAACACTGATCATGTCTCTTGTTTTTTCTGTTCCTTTAAATTCCAGTATATATGACTTGAAAAATTCTGAATCTAACATAAAGTTCTTCGTTTAGCCAAACAAAATCTATAAAATCTCATATTTTTGTTAACTGCTCAAGTGAACTACTGTCTGGAAAAGAAATTAATTCCAAGGAATAAACTGGAAATGGAATGGAACCCTATTGAGCCAACCTGGAATGAGCAACTGAGGTCTGTGCAGATAGCAAAGATGAAAAAGGAAGTCCAGAAGTCCAGAAAAGATACAGAACAGAAACTGAAGTCAGAGAATCTGGAAGCTTCCTAGAGATGTTTGAGATGATTTTGGGAACTCATAATATGGAACAGCAAGAAAGAACTGAAAAGATGACCAGAGAGAGATGACCTAGACTAGAAAGTTTCATGAAATTGGGAGGTCCAGGGATAGATTTGACAAACTTGGAATTCTTGAATAGAAATCCTATAACATGGACTTACAGAGCTGAGATATCACCTTTAAAACAAACTCAAAAGTCTTGCAGAGAAGCTGCTTATATTTTAAATTGACCTTGCCAGAAAACACAGTTAAGATAAAATATTTAAAATGGGTCAGAGTATCCAGGCTCAAACAACACTGAACTCATTGCTTTTGGAAGAAAATAACAGGAGTTTTGCTCTTGAATATATTATGGCGTACATGAACTGCCTGGAAGAGTAAACTCAGATGAAGACAGGTATTACAGTGTTCTTGCTAAAAAGGCCAGGAGACACAGGATCCAACACTTCAGCAAATCAGTCTAGAAGGGAACAGAATGGCCAAAATGAGAAAATTTACTTTGAATATTAGTTTTATTTTACGAAAGTAGGATATTTCAGACAGATTATAGACCGGATGTTATTATGACCAGAAAGTAGATAAAACCCAAGAATCTTTCAATTTAATGCTCTATATTTTCTTTAAAAATAAGATCTAAGTTGTTCTATTTCCATGTTGTACAAATGGAAAAAATAAAAAAGGTGAAGCATTTTCATGAGTTCTGGGGTACAATTCATCTAAGATTAGATTTCTAAAAGTTAGACATCCAAGCTTGAGCTACTCTGTGTTAGAAAAAGCTGCCTCCAAATGCTTAGTTTTTTCAGCTATCTTAAATTCTCATCATACACTGACATGAATTATATTCCAGGGGTGTCCATTTCCTTCTATTGATTCTAAAGGGAGCCCGAGGTAGCTCAGATGTAGCCATCTAGCTTTTTAATGTCTATGAGAGACAATTAGTTGCTAATGTGCTTAGAGCAAAAATGGATTATTGTTCTTTTGCTGAGGGACTTCTGTAATTTTCAAAATTAAAATAACTACTAAACATATATATAGGAAAAAAAATGAAGGAAGAAAGTAAAGAAGATGAACCCCTAACATTTTGGCTACTTAGTTATGGCAAAATGTTGTACATTTGAATGAGAGCAACAGCGTGGCCTAAGAGTTTCAGGTTACACATCAGGAATTATTTTCCTAATACAAGAAAAATACAGGTTTTAGAGCATTGGACAGGCACACAATCAATTCAGTGGGAAAGCTGCTCATTAAACAGCTGCTTTTATCAATAGCAAGGGTAAAAAGCACTGAGGACCACAGAGGCAGTATATCAAAGAGAAATTTGACCTGAACAGCCCAGCATTCTCAGAGCTGGAAAGAGTATCCTTTCTATGTCTACCAAGATTAAGAAGGAACAAAACCTGGGAGGGATTTTAAGAATACCTCTGCAGAGAAAGACACAATGCTACTGGCAAATAGTAACACTCACACTGCTTGTGCAAAACTAAATTGTAGCTCTGAAGATTATACAGTGTAGGAAGAGGTATAACTTCCAAGTGAGGATAAGAACCAAAAGAAGGGAGACCAAGGAGACAAGGCAAAGATTAATATTGCCAGGGAAGCTCTATATTTGAGATATGAATCAGTGCAGTTGAGAATTTGGAACATTAAAGTAATTCTATTGTAGACATTGCAGCACTGTAATTTAAGAAAAACTCAATAAGGGACATAGTAAAAGCCAGAGGAGCAGAGTGGGATAGTCCTACCATCTAGCAAAGGTGCTTAGAATTGTTCTGACAGGCAAACTTTCTGTTTATCACCTAGAAAACCCAAACCTCCTAACTCAGGCACTTCACAGTTTCCTTCTGAGGTCAATGTGTACTGGATGGGTATTTCATGAAGACATACAGTTTGGTGAAAGGGAAGGAATGGGCATCAGAAAATAAAATGCAAATGGCATCAGTGCTGGAACCTTTAGTAAAATAAATAGGATGGCTGAGAGAAGGAAATGTTTGGAGGCATAAGATGGGAAAGTGATGTATATTCTTAAGAGCTAGAAATCAAAACTTGCATAAAAATAAAAGAAGAATCAATCAGGACACTCAAAGAAAGATTAGGTGGTCTGAGCGGTAACTAAAAAGGAGAATCTTGGCAAGAAGCATAATCAGGTTTACAGAGGGAAGCTTGTAGGTTAGAAAGTGTCAGATTCTTAAAAAAAACACAAAGAGAAAACATATTATATTTGCCCCTGGAAAGGACTTTTGGGATAAATAACAACTTCAAAATCAAAAGCTTTATGAAAAATGTCGTGGAGTTTCAATTTCAGGAAGTTTAATTTCAGTGAAGATCTTAGCAACAGCATGTAACATAATCCCAGTCATTTTAGCATGTGATAAAAAAAAAAAAAAGACAAAAAATATGGCAGGAAATGTGAAAAAGGATGAGAAAAGAGAGATCTGCTGTATTTGGGGGGATAGTTCTGCATTGCTAGAGGTACCTTACAACTTAAAGGCAAAAAGTCATACCTTTTTTCATTGTCCATTGCTTTTCTTCTAAATAATAATGCTAAGATGTTGTTTATTTTTCTGTAATTAGTGTAAATTATAAAACGGCTTTTGTTTCTAGCTACTTTCCCAAATGTTTAAAAGTGTTAATTACAAAAACAACCAAAACATTATCTGCTTACTCACAGAGCTGTTTGCCAAATCAATTTCCATACATAAAAGAAAGAAATAAATTGAAGACAACATAACCTTAAAAATAAGTTATATGTTTATTGGTTTGATGGATTGGGATGGTGTTATCGCCTCTAAATGAAACTAACGATACCCAATTTATGCAATCCAGTATGATTCTATGAGAAGTGTGATGACTGGAAATCTTTAATTAACACACTAAATCTCTGGTAGGACAATCCAATGAAGGAAAGAGCACAATAGCAGGAAAAAATATGTAGGTTTGTGTATGTTAACTTGTTAAAATGCGAGAAATAGAATAGATTGAATTTTGCTAAGAATTTAGATTCATGATTGAAGTTGAAAATAATGAAGAAAGAAAAATACAGGGAGAGCAAACACAGCAAAATAGAATCATAGAACCATAGAATGGTTTGGGTTGGAAGGGACCTTAGAAATCATCGAGTTCCACCCCCCTGCCATGGGCAGGGACACCTCCCACTAGACCAGGTTGCTCAAAGCCCCATCCAGCCTGGCCTTGAACACTTCCAGGGATGGGAACCTCTTTGGGCAACCTGTGCCAGTATTTCACAACCCTTGTTGAAAAAAGATATTCTTTTGTCCAATCTAAATCTACCCTCTTTCAGTTTAAAATCATTGCCCCTTCTCCTGTCACTATGGGTTCTGGTAAAAAGTCTCTCTTCATCTTTCTTATAATTCCCTTTTAGGTACTGGAAGGCCTATAAGGTCTCCCTGGAGCCTTCTCTTCTCCAGGCTGAACAACCCGACCTCTCTCAGCCTGTCCTCATACAAGAGGTGCTTCAGCCCTCTGATCATATTTGTGGCTCTCCTCTGGACTCGCTCAAAGAGGTTCATGTCTTTCTTCTGCTGGGGACCCCCCAGGTAGATGCAGTCATGCAGGTGGGGTCTCATGAGAACAAAGCAGAGGGGGAAAATACCTCCCTTGAACTTCTGGCCATGTTTCTTTTGATACAGCCCAGGATATGGTTGGCTTTCTGGGCTGCGAGCATACACTGAAATAAATAAAGCCAAAACAAATTCCCAATGTCAATAATCCAGGTTACTCTAGTTTTGATATTATGTTCTCTTACGGAAAGCTATCAGACCACTGCCAATCAGGCACCCTGAAACCAGAAAAAATTATAGCAAAAACATGATGAGCAGTTTAAGTCTTAAAATTCCTAACGTGCATCAGTCTTATTAGCATGAATCTAGTTATCTATTTTATTCATTCACCAAGGTATTAGTCCAAAGTCAGGAAATCAAATATGTGTCTTCATAACAGATGTCACAATCACATTAAAATCCATCCAAAGAATTTGGACATATCGGTACAGAAATGATAATGGAGCCCAGTAGGAAGCTGTAGTCATCATCATTTGTATGACACGATGCATCCTTGCCATATCCACAAAGGTGCATCTATATCATTAGCATGTATAAGCTCTTTATACTGCAATCATAAAATAATGAAACAGACATTTTTCTTACTTGAGATTTCAGTGCTTTAAGCTGAGCTTCATAATTCTGAGCCATTTCATATTTAGTTTCATGCAAGTCTTCCAGTTTCTGTCGAAGTAGTCCTACCTAGAGTTAGAATAAGCATTCAAATTTACCTTTTCTGACGTGTTCCAAAAAAATGTCATTTTTGGAATAGTCATTTGAAACTCTGAAAAAAGACCGTTGCTTAAAAGATAGATATTAAAAATTTATATTCATTCAGTAACTTAATAATAAAACTGGATACCACAAACCCATACTGTGTCAGCATCAAGATAGGGATTTTATAGTAAAAAAACTCCTTATGTTATGATTTAATGATAATACTGTATGAGTCTGCCATGAAAGACCATTTAATGAAAGCATTTCTGACCCAACTACACGAATGATCTGCTATGGCCCATTGTGAAAATTTTGCTTAAATAGCTTACATAATCACATAAATGACTTTAAACTACATATGGAAAATTATCGGGAGACACTGTAGACTCATTTTGCCCTGAGTACGGTGCCATTTGAGCTGTCTTGAATTACCTGAGAGTTTCACAGAGGTCTGAGAAATATGACAAAGAGCACACAAGACCTACGTTTTTCTGGAGGCGCAGCTGGAAGCTAGGCAGAATATGCTCAAATATTTCAGATAACATCTTCGTACAGGCAAATAAATTGATGCTTTAAGGACTGGCTAGCAGAATTACTCTCTTGGCTCCTCTGACTGCAATGACTAAGGGCAAGTTCCTAATTGCTCATTAGGGAGAGTTATTTCACTTTCAAAACTCCCACTGGCAGTTTGGACACCCAGCTCACAGAAGGATGCCCACGTGTAAACACCTAAATTCAGATGCCTTGAACTGGAACTGAATGCTGTGCTAGGATTTACTGGTGCTTCTGAATGGATATTCATCAGACAAGATCGTGAAGAATGGACAACATCACTGGAGCTTTCAGTTTGATACACAAGTCCAAGTGGTAATAAAATGCTAATTTTCACTATTAATGCTAAAATTATGATACAGACAGTATATGATGCAAAATGATAAAAATCATGTATAAACAGGAATTACAAAGACATGATTTTGTGAAACTTCTGGAACTGCACATTTCCATTTAAAATTTCTGATGAAATGAGAAGTGTTGGCATTTAGAAAAAACATTAAATTATCTTTTTACAGCTAAACTGAGAATATTCGATTTAGACTTTAGGGAAATAGAAGAAATATGAGACTTTCAATGACATTTTTACAATCACTTTTCAGAACAGAAGCACACTTTAAAACAAAACACTAAGGATAATTAGTGACCTTTAAAGGGTGTTTGGTATTTTTACATGATAGAACAAACAGGTCTCCTTACAGAGCACTTAGAGCATACTATTAACTAACTCCCAGAATAAATACTTTCTTTATAGAATGTGATATTCTTAAATACCTCTTGACCTTTTTGATCCAGTTTGCTTTGGGTACTTGCTAATTCTTGATCCTGGATATCCATCTTTGCTTCTAAAGCTTTCATCTTCCTTTCCCATTCCACTTTCTTGCTGTTTACCATGATGTCAATTTGATGCACTAATTCCTGAAGTTCAGCTTCACATGGAGAACCTCTAATAATATAAAAAAACCAACAAAAAAGAGATTTTTTCAAGTAAAGAATAAGGGAGAAAGCAATTTTTTATTTACATTGCTAAGATTTTATTTTACTTCTGATGGAAAGAACAACTTTCCAACATTAGAAAGGAAGAAATGGGAAAGCTAAATAATGCCTTCAAATGTAAGTGGAATCAAAACCAGAGAATTTAGCATGGACTTTTTGCTGAGCTTGAATGTTGGTTTATATCCTCTCACTCTTTCAGGGACCAACTGTCAAATGAGCACAAGCTGAGCTGAAATTATCCAGGCCCAAACCTCAATGGGCAAGAGCAGGAGAAGCTGAATATTAAGTTGCTTATAGGCACAGAAATTCCCACTAATGATGGACACAGTGCTTATTGGTGGAAGCTATTAAACAGCTGGCTTGAAAGCGAGCCACAATTCTTAATTGCTAGTTCAGCTTCTACATTCTGTTTTCCCATTCTATTTGTGGAAAATGGACTAAAATAATAAGGCAACAGTAAGTTTTTCTGCCACTAGGAAGCACAGAAGTAAATGCATTTTGAAAAAGAACTTGTCTTTTGGGGGGGACTATGAGCTTAATTATTTTTATGAACTTCATTTTTTTTTTTTGAAAATACCACAGCTTCTGTAAAAGAATGGGGCATGTATCCCAGCGGAGTGAAGGAAAACCTTTCACTGACTGTTTCTCTAAACATTTACTTTTTCCACAAGATTTTTAGTGGCCTCTGTTATCTGCATGTCCTGTTCTCATATGAGTTAACTGTTGATAAAATTTTCTACATCTTTCCCACTTTTTTCAGAGCTTCTTTTATACCTTTATTGTTTCCTGTTCTAGTTTTAATTGCTTTACATTTTTTCCTAAATAAGAGATTCTATTTATAAATTACCCTAGTACCCAGCTTTATTTCTTTCCTTAGAAGACAAACTTTTATCTTATCTTCATCACATATTGGAATGCATTGAAATGCGTCTTCTTTAGTCATTGCAACCTTATCTTGGCATGAAAAAAAAATCTCATTTAAAATCTTCAAATTACTCTTTTCAATGGAATGACCTAATAATTGTGAAAATTTCTGCATTTTTCCTTCTGCAATGAATTAAAGACTACTGTATCCAATTACTCCCATATCTAAATGAAGGTACCAATAAAATCAATGTTTTTTCTCTACTGTCAAGCAGTTACACTATTAGTAAACTCTTAAGTGGTACAACTCCTTTCCCTTCACTTTTTTCATCTGTCATAGTGACTATTTATTGTACAACGGAAATTTAATCTGCATTAATTTCCATTTCCTCATGCTGTTGCACAGTTTTCAAGTCTCTTCTTTCTTCTCATGGTTTTGGGTAGAAGCCTGCATTGAATTTCCTGTTGATAAAACCAGCAATTGTATTCTTTCATAGATTTGTTAATTATCCCTGCTGAAATCTAAGCTGATGCAAAAAATGTATTGTAATCTGTTACTTTTCATAATAATAAGTTTAGCCTTCTGATAAACAAGTTTCTTCACTTAAAATAATCTATGAAAGCTGTGACATTGTTTTGAGTCATGACATGTTCTCTTTTCTTTTGAATAATATTACTTATCTCACTGACATTTTCCCCAAAAGTGAAAGTGATAGCCACTGGTTATAATTTAATTGGTTCTTCAATTTATAAAAATTTAAAAGCTGTGTATTCTCTTGACTGCTGGTGGTACACACCTCTGTGTGCACATGAATTGCCTTGAAGATCCCTAATCAGTCTGCAGTCATTTTAATATCTCTATGGCATGACGGTTTGTTAAAATGAGCACAGCTATTTCCTTAAAATGAGCATAGCTATTATTTTATGAAATAATTGCCATAGAGACAGTCACACAGAGACAAAAGATGGTGCAGCATCTGAATAATGCAGCAGCAACCTAAAAAAGGGTTAATGATTCTATCCTAGGAAGTGTTGGAGAGTATTTCAATACCTAAAATTAGCAGAGAATGCCATTTTCATCACTAACATTACAATCTGGCATATGTTTTTGGGGGACATTGCAGCCGAGAATGTGCCAAGCAATTAGGAACTCTACTTTAGCAAAACTGCACTTAACCAAACGCAAACTGAGCCCTGCACGTTATAAGAGGTAACATCCCTGTTGCCAGTGAGCCTTCAACTGCTGAGTGTGCTGCCAGCACATCGCTGAGGAGCAGTAACTAACATGGTCCCCTGCTGTAAGTGACTGAGCAAACCAAGCCTTAATGTACACCCATGTTTCTACTGCAGCTCGCTGATACCATCACCTCGTGTGAATGCCAGCATGAAAATGCTTCCTTTCTTTTCTGGTTACCCTTCACATCCCATCTCTTCAGCCAACTCTTCAGTGTCTGCCCTCCCAGTGCCCAGGCAGACACACTGAATTCCCCCATCTGTAGGTTGTGCTCTGGGCCAAGCGCTGGTCCCACACACCCTGTGTTTCATATCCTGCACACTCAGCTTCTGGCTGCACTGCACCAAAAAAAGAGTTCCTTAGCGTGGATATGTGTTTATTGAATATCTTTTTTTTTGGTGCTTAAATAGTGCATGTCCCTTGTTTTTGTAATTATTACAGGAAATTGGAGGAAATGTGCTAGATTTACAATATCATAATTAAAACTTACCTTGATTGTTTGAAGTTAAATTCTTTAAAACTTTTTAATATCAACAAATGCTTGAAACTTTATCAATGTTAAGCTTGGAATGGCTTTTTAAATAAACATATAAATCTTAATGACTTTTTAACGTTAAAACTGTTAGCAATGGCATTTTAGAATTCAATATGAGTCATAAAATGATAATAACCAAAGTGCAAGCAAATAGTACATTGTGATGTACATGTCACAAAACAAAAATGCCCCCTTCCCCAAGTGCCTGAAACCCATCTCAAAATAGCATTAATGATGCAGCAAGCTTGGATTCCCTCTGGGTGGGATTTAAAATGGGATTTTAAAAACAGAAGCTGAAGCAATACTGCATCATGGCTACCTTTTCTCTGACACTGCTGTAAGGAGCTGTGCCCTTCCAGCCTCATGTATTGTCAGGTAGCAGCACTTTGCTTAACCTCCAGCAATGACTCACTATCTGCTTTTAGCCTTCAGAAATATGTCCTTTCTTTATTGTGTGACACGTGGATTATCTAAATATTGGTATGCAAGTGCAAATGCAACCTCCAGCCTGGATCACCAGGTTACCCCTTCAGACCCACCATGGCTGACATCTTTGCTCTCTTAAGTCTCAGGTGTCTCTTTCAGATCATCCTGCACAAGCCAAGTTCTGCAGCTGTTCCTAGAAAATTTTGCCTTGAGTTTCTGCATGTTTCTTGAACCTAGAACCACCAATGTATAAAAGGGAGCTGTTGAAGGAAAAATCCCTTCTGAAACAGCTTCTTGATCTATCTTCACATTCTCTGACTGCTTCCTTACCCAGATCCTCTAGGTACCCTGCAGCTGAAGAAGGAAAGCTCTACCTGTAGCTGTAGGTTCCTGCTGCTGTTCCACTACCAGAACTACTCTGTATCTTGGATCTGGCATTACAAACAGATCCGCATAGCGATGCATTGGGCAGTTAACCCCACCTACCAGCACAGAGGTGCTACTCGCCACTGAAACTACTATTTTAGTCACTTCAGTGTTTTGAAAAGAGTGCTAGCTGTCCCCCTCAGAACACAGCATCACAATCATGAGAATTCATTTCGATCACTGGATGTGGAATTTGGAAAACTCTGATATCTTTTGTTTAATATGCCATCAAGTAAACAAACACACAAAGAACACATTTTCCCATAAAACAAAGAAGTATACATATGTTTTTTACCCATGTGCATTGAGCATTCCCACTTTGCTGAATCACAGAATCACAGAATCACAGAATTGTAGTGGTTGGAAGGGACCTCAGAGATCATCGAGTCCAACCACAAAAAAAAAACAAAAAACAAACAAACAAAAAAACTAAAAAAACCAACAACAACAAAAAAACCACACCAGCTCCCACCACCTAAACACACAACAACAACAACCAAACCAAAAAAACCATCACCCACCCACACAGCACCCCACCACAAACCAGTAATCTTGGGCACTAGAGCATGCCCTGAAGAACCATGTCTACATGTTTCTTAAATACCTCCAGGGATGGTGACTCCACCACCTCCCTGGGCAGCCCATTCCAATGCTGGATAACCCTTTCAGTAAAGAAATGTTTCCTAATATCCAACCTGAACTTCCCCTGGCGCAACTTGAAGCCATTACCCCTTGTCCTATCATCTGTAACTTGGAAGACGAGACCGACCCCCGTCTCTCTACAGCCTCCTTTCAGGTACTTGTACAGAGCGATAAGGTCTCCCCTCAGTCTCCTCTTCCCCAGACTGAACAACCCCAGTTCCCTCAGCCTCTCCTCGTAAGACTTGTGCTCCAGACCCCTCACCAGCTTCGTTGCCCTTCTCTGGACCCGTTCCAGCACCTCAATGTCCCTCTTGTGGTAGGGGGCCCAAAACTGGACACAGTACTCGAGGTGGGGCCTCACCAGTGCCGAGTACAGGGGGACCTCTCGGGCTCTACTCGCCACACTGTTCTTGATACAGGCCAGGATGCTGTTGGCCTTCTTGGCCACCTGGGCACACTGCTGGCTCATGTTCAGCCGACAGTCGACCAACACCCCCAGGTCCTTTTCTGCCAGGCAGCTCTCCAGCCACTCTGCCCCCAGCCTGTAGCGCTGCTTGGGGTTGTTGTGACCGAAGTGCAGGACCCGGCACTTGGCCTTGTTAAACCTCATCCCGTTGGTCTCGGCCCATCGATCCAGCCTGTCCAGATCTCTCTGCAGAGCCTCTCTACCCTCCAGCAGATCAACACTGCCACCCAGCTTGGTGTCTCTGCGAACTTACTGAGGTATGCATACATAAGATTCTTCGTATGTGGAAGTAATGACTTGTACTTGAGCAAGTGGCAGCTATTTTTTTTTTTTTGGTTGCATTTACTTTGAAACAGCTCAAAACGCTTAAAGGTATTTAAAGTGATGCAGGCAAGCTCTTAGTCTACTTTTATTCTGTTTCCATACTGGTGAAAATAGAGATGATTCATATTCTGCTGTCATTAGTAACTATTTATCTTGATGTAAAATCTAGATGTTTCCAAATTTAGACAAACCAAAATCCAGATAAGAACTTTTACCAACTCCAGGCCTTTATCAGAAATTATTTTTGATGAGTATTCTAAACTACTCTTCCAGAGTCTTCGTACAGTTAATGGAAATACATAGCGACCAAGAATACCTGGTTTATGATGGGACAAATCACTCTCTAGGTTCATCTGTAATGGCCTGAAATTTCACGTATGTTGACTACAACAAAGGCCAGGCAGGATCCGAACTCTTGAAATAGGCTTCTGATTTGTTAAAATAGTATCCAAAGAGTAGAAATATTTTGACTTTTTTTTAAATTCAAGTTTTGATATGACTATATTTACCCATCATTAACAGAAAGAATCCCTCTCAAAGCTGAAAAAAACAGCCACATTGTTCAAAATACAATAATTTACTGCAGCAATCTTTTTTCTATCATGAAAAGAGCTCACGTTATCCTTCAGTTCAACAGAGCCCGCTTTGAAATATTATTAAAATTTTCTTGGGTCAGGATAAGGTGTGATAGAATGTTGTGTTTCTGTTACTTTAAGAAATATTTTCAAACTTAATATGCATCATATTACCTTGGATTGGTTCTTGGTGATAATGATAGAAAAAATTGGTTTATATGAAAAAAATGTTAATAAGTTTAATTACAAATTATGAGAGATAAATATTCTTCTCATTATATGGGAAAGTAGTTTTTATATCGCTGTGTTCCTTGACCAGGTTGGATGGGGTGAGGCCCTACATCAAATCTCAACCATGTTTAAGCTTCTTTAGAAAGATTTTGTGCTGTACTGATATTTATTTTTTTTTTAGATTAACACTAAAAGAAATAAACTTGGATTATCTCCAAAAAAGATGATTGTGTTGTGTTGAAAGGTGCACTTACTACTTGGGAAGAACAATTGTGGTTATTACCTGTGCAAAATATGACTAGAGCTTTAGCAATTAATAGCCTCGTTTTTAAGATTTTTGAATGTTTTAAGAGCTGTGATATGTAAGTTTATACTGCTGTAGCCTAGCAACTTCAACTAGTTTTTAAAACAGTACAAAATAACATTTCTTAACATCTTAACAAAACCCCACGTAGCTTTCATTTTTTCCTCTTTTGTTCAGATATGAAGATTTAAAAAATGTAAATAACAGAAAGAGTAAGTAGATTAGCTAGAGCAATGTGTTGCCTTAATTATCAGTAATCTCTCTAGTTTGCATAGAGAAGCCGCAGAAGAAACTGAGAATCATGTTTGATTCTAGAATCATTAATATTTTGTTTCACATTTTTAATAAACCCACATAATTCAATTCCATTATATATTCAACTCCCAGAAAATAAGTTATTACTTACTTAGTGACAGCTTGTTCCTGAAACACCTCTAAGTCCTGCTCCATATTACTGATCATCTTTTTAACCTGTTGAAACAACAAAAAACAAGCAATTCAGATTCTCAAATGCGTGCATTTACACAGCCAAGTAGCTCATACTGGACAGTTCTAGCTTTCCTTTCCATTTCTGCAGTTCTCCCATTGCAAATGACAGGGGCAGGGACGTGTTGCTCTAATTACAGCTGGAATGGGCAAGATGAAAACTCCTGGAGTCAGCTCTCACGCTTGGTGCAGCACTACTAGAGGGGGAAAGATGAGAACAAGACTGTTGCTGGGACCAGCCTGGTTCTGCGGGTCCAGCTGGGCACAAGGACATGGGGCAAGTCTGGTTGCATGCAAAAACAGGAATCAGCCACATTATCTGTGACAGGGTGGCATGAAACAACCCTCATCCCTCATGAGGGTGTGCACTGGGCATCTCTACATCGTGATGTGTGGATACTGCAGCCTTGGCTCCCCAGAGACCAGGTACCTAAGGTGACATTGCCACAGGACCACCACCCTTGGCTCCACAGGGACAAGGCACCTGAGGTGACACTGCCCCAGGACCAGGCACCTGAAGTGACACTGCCACAGGACCATCACCCTTGGCTCCACAGGGACCTGGCACCTGAGGTGACACTGCCACAGGACCATCACCTTTGGCTCCACAGGGACCAGCACCTGAGGTGACACTGCCACAGGACCAGGCACCTAAAGTGACACTGCCCCAGGACCACCACCCTTGGCTTCACAGGGACCAGGCACCTGAGGTGACACTGCCAGAGCAGCACTGGCTCCACTTGGATCCAGCACTTGAGGTGACACTGCCACAGAACCACCACCCTTGGTTCCCCAGAGACCAGGCACCTGAGGTGACACTGCCCCAGGACCACCACCAATGGCTTCACAGAGGACTGGCAACTGAGGTGACACTGCCACAGCAGCACTGGCTCCACAGGGAACCAGCACCCGAGGTGACACTGCCACCGGACCACCACGCTTGGCTCCATACGAGACTGGCACCTGAGGTGACAAAGACACGGGGGCAGCCTTAGCTGTGCCGGACACCCGAGGAGACCGGGGCACCCCCTCGCCCTCCGCGGCCGGTCAGGCGGCGAGTGCGGCGGTGCCGCCCCCTCCCCGACAGTTACCTGCCTCGCTCCCCCGGTGTCTCCATTCGCACCCGATGTCGCCGTGGCCGGGGCATGAGCTCCGGTCACCCCCGCTCTCTGCCGTCCCGCCCCAGCTCCCGCCCGCCGCCTCCACCGGCCGTTGCGGGCCGTCGCCGCGGTAACGCGAAGGGCGGCATGGCGAGGCGGGAAGGCGGGGTGGGGGGGCCGGCTGGGCCACCGAGGCAAGGCAAGGGGCGAGGCCGGGGCGGTGGCCCGAGGGGCGGGCTGAGGGGAGGGCTGCGGGGCTGGGCAGGGCCCGGGCCCGTCGGGCTGTGGTGCCAGGGGGCTGTGGGTGCTTCCCGCCAAGGGTTCCGCCGGGCCGTGAGGGAGCCGCCACGGCGCGGCCACCCCGGTGTCACCCGTGGGTTTTGCAGGGCCCTGCGTCCCTCTGGTGCCCGCCCGTCTGTTTGAAGGAAGCTGGGGTGAATTTCACCTCAGAAAATGTCACCCGGGATAAAGAACATTTACTTTTGCTTTAACATAATGTAAGAAAACAGTAGGCAGGATGGTTGGGGTTTTTTTTCCTTTTTTTTTTTTTTTCTCCTTTAAAACGCAACTATTCCTAGATAATGAGAAGGCTGAGCATTACGCTTTTCTTTCTGAATGACTAGCTCTGCTTTTGGAAAACAGCTTCAAACAATTTTGAGATTATTGTGCAAACGACCTAGGTTTGGATGACACTTCACATTTTTTTGTGCACTCCAGTCTGTCTTATTCAACAGCAAAACACCCTTTAAGAATCACAGCTATTTCGGCTTTTCACAGTCATAATTTGTGCTTCCAAACTTAGAGTTTATAGATCTCTTCAAACACCAGGGAATTTTTCTACCCAGGACAGTACAATTCACTTTGTATTTACTGTCCTGAAATTGCATGGAGCATTTTCAGGAGGTGCTAGTCTATTTATGAACACCACATTTCGAGCTTTTGGTTTGTTTTGTTTAGACTGTTTACTTAAATTAGCCAAGTGAACCGTATTTTTAATGTAAGGAATGATCTATTGCATTTGGTTCCTACCTACGGTGCTAAGGCAGATGGTAAGGATGTCAGCAGAAATACTGTTTAAAGCTATGAATTATGAAAAATATTTTTTAAATGAAAGATTAAATAAAATTAGATGCAGAGTTTCAGGGAAGTTGCTAATAAAGTTTGCTTACTCGCTCTAGAAAATAACTGACAATTTTCCTTTGTAATTTTATTCAAGATTACTAAAAATGTAACTTCTCAGCCTGGAGAAGGCTCCCTGGAGACCTTATAATAATGGCCTTCCAGTACCCAAAAGGGGCTACAGGAGCACTGGGGAGGGACCCTTTATCAGGGAGTGGAGCGATAGGATGAGGGGTTACAGTTTTAAAATGAAAAAGGGGAGATTTAGATTAGATATCAGGACGAAATTCCATTCCACTGAGGGTGGTGAGGCACTGGAACAGGCTGCCCAGAGAAGCTGTGGATGCCCCATCCCTGGAAGTGTTCAAGACCAAGGTGGATGGGGCTTTGAGCTACCTGCTCTAGTGGGAGGTGTCTCTGCCCACAGACAGGGTCTTTAAGGTCCCTTCCAACCTGAATCATGCTAGGATCCTATAATCCTATGGTTTTATTTTTGCCCTAAGTTTTTTTTTCATAGCTGTATTTAATTTCAGGGATATTCTAGGAATACTTTAGATCCTTATTTGTCGCAGGAGCAGCCATGGGGCGATGGCAGGAGAGCCCAGAGCTGAGGGTGATGGCCAGGGGCCGGGCAATGCTCTCCCCAACATATTGTAGTCCCACAGCACTCAGCCAGAAGAGCAGAGGGGACAAGGACCATGTCAGGGGATCCACCACAGCCAAGGGATGGGCAGCCATGGGCAAATCCGAAGGCAAAATTAGGAGCAGCGAGAAGTGGTGCTGAGCTCAGGCAGCAACGTGGCCCCAAGCTGAAATGCTGCTTCTGAGCTGAGGGCACGGGCCACCGACACAACATCTGACAGCTCTGCCTCGTAGTGGCCATCACCTCAGGTTGTGGCTGCACCACGTCAGAGCTGGCTTGAGGACAGGCAACCAAACCCTTAGGGGAGAGGGGAGGAGGTTGCAGCACCAGTTGCTGCACTCAGACACTCAGAGCCCTGAAAACATTTACTTCATGACACTTCTGTAATTACCTGAAATGTTTCAAATGTAATTTCTCATAATTGGAATACTGTTTTAAGATTTTTTTTAAAAATAGTGAAATTTAGGATGATTTATTTTGAATACTTGAATTTAGGATGATTTGAAGTATTATGTACTAGAAAGAATCTTTAATGTAAGTGCCAGCAAATTTCCATTTGTTCATCCAGAGCAATATTCATCAGGCATATTCCCAGCGCATATATTTTAATTTCCTCCCTGTCTCATCCTCTCTCAGTGGTAATCAGTTATTCAGAAATTAAACTTCCATCTGTCATGCCCAAGCAGAATTGGAGGGGCAACTTAAAAAAATACAGAAAAATAATTTTAAAATTACATATCAACATTTTCAAAGCTTTTTAGAAGTACAATTCCCAGTGCCGTTATCCAGAGTTGTGTTTCTAACTCTCTGATGTGCCTTTAAATAGCTCATTCACTATATTAAAAAAATCCCATATCAAATTGTTGACATTTTCTATTTGCTTTTCCTCATTCACATCATCTCTTGACTGGAGCTTGTCTTATGAGACCCCAAACCTTTACTTGTTGACTTTAAAGAACATGCTTTATGCATGCTTTACAAATTATGATAGCCAGCAAATAATGGAAACTACTTTCAAATTAATTTATAGATTAAAATTAATAGAAAGCTATAAGCACATTTCTGCAGGAAAAAAAAAAAAAAGAGGAAGTAGATCAGGACAGGGACACAACAGGGTATGACCAGAAGTCAAACAAGACAAGGTACAATGTTGGTATTTGTATGAAAACAGGGGGAATTAGCCAGGAAGATACCCCCTGTCACAACCGGCGGGTAACGAGAGTGAAGGGAAAGCCAAGCAGTGACCCAGGGTGTATGACGCTCTATATATCTGATTGCGTGTGCCTTGCTCAGCCTGGTCCAGGGGTGCACACACCAAGGTGAGATTAACAGCTCCAGTAGAAAACCTGGAAGCAGTAGTGTGAAGAGAAATGCTGATCTTTCAATATCTGCAACTCTGAATTTACTTTCTGCTTTTTCTCTTTTGTGTCACATTGCAACACATTACTGACAGGTATCCTGTCACCAACAGAATATACACCACAATCGTTTGTTGGAGAGAACCGTGGAAAAGGAGTCTTGTACAAGATGCCTTTTGTCACTGGTGTGGGCTTTACATGAGGTTGTCGAGTTCTTGTTGATAATATTTATGAAGCACACAGATATTTTAACAGACTTTGCTGAAAGAGAGGAAACATTAGTTCTGTTAACAAGTCTATTCCACCACCAAATTGCAATAAGAGATTTTAAAGAAGTCCTAAGTAAAGCAAAATGCTTTTAGCCTAATAATCATTCTGAGAATTTGGCACTTTTCTAATAATAAATCCACAATATACAGTTCAATATAGCGTATTTCCAGAGCAGAATAAAAGAGATAGTGTTCAGGAAGTAGCATAATTGAGTTGTAATTTAAGTGATAAATGATTATATACCTACTGGTTATCCTTCCTAGATACTTGTCACTTGAATGTGTGCTATTTCTATGGTGTAATTTGTAATGGTAGGTAAAAGCTAAGTGCATGGTAGGTAAAAGCTAAGTGCATTTGTGTATTTAACTTTAAATACAATTTCTGTTTACAGGATATATTCCCACCTTATCTTGCAATCTCAGATGACAAATTTGATTGAACACTTTGTCGCAGGAAGCTCAGTGTAGGTCTCATAAGAACCATGCTTATTTCTTCAGCGTA